CTGGGTATTTTGTAAATATGAATAATGTGGTAAAGAGGGTTTTTCAATTCTTTGATATTCTATATTCTATCTCCTTGTATTAAGTAGGGACAGAGAGTGTTGAAATCTCCATCCATAATTGTAGGTTTCTTTCTATTTTGTCAGGTTCTTTTGGTGGAAGGGTTTTGGACTCAGGGCCTCATCCTTGTTTGGCAGTTGCTCTGCCACTTGAGCCATGCTCCCAGCTCTAGATTTTAAAATGAATTTTAAAGTTCCATTAGTGGGAGCATGTACAGTTAGGATTAATTCTTGATGAATTAATCTCTTTATCATTATAACATGGTCCTCTTTATCTGAGGTAATATTCTTCCTACTAATATAGCTAACTTTCTTATGAAAAGAGTTAATATGACATATGATTCGCTATACTTTTGCTTAGAAAATCTATTTTTAAAGCATGATGGATCTTCTTTTCTTTATTAAGTCTGAATACCTTTGCCTTCTAATTGGAATAGTTAGAAAATTTTGCATTCAATGAAATCATTAATATGGTTTGTTTTTAAATCTATCATCTTGCAATTGTTTTCTATTTTCTTTATGTGTTCTTTTTTGTTTCTTCTCTTTTCCTGCCTTCTTTTGGGTTAACCAAGTAGCTTTAATATTCCTCTTTATCTCTTCTTTTGGCTTATTAATGACACCTCTTTCTTTTAGTTTTTAGTGGTTGTTCATGGATTTAAAATATGAACTCATTGGGCTGGCAAAGTGCCTCAAATGGTAGAGCGCCTGCCTACCAAGGGTGAAGGCCCTGAGTTCAAACCCCAGAGCAGCCAAAAAAATTTTTTTAAATGAGAAATAAGTTTCCTTTTATTTACTCACATGTTTACTATTTCTGGAGTTTTTAACTTCTTTGTGACAATCTAAGCTTCTATGTGACATATTTCTGTTCTCATTCACAGACATACTAATATTTTTTATAATCAGGCCAAATACAGATGAATTCTTTCAGCTATATTTTGTTTGAAAAATGCTACTTCGTCTTCACTTTTAAGTATGCACAGAATGATAGAGGACTTTTGTCTTTGTTTCCCTTTTAGCACTTTGAAATTATTGGTATATTGTCATCTACGGTTCCTGATGAGAAGTCTAATTCTTATCTCTGTTCTTTCATATGGATAGCGCCTCCTTTTTTCTGAATTCCTTTCCTTTTCTCTTTTATAACTGTTTTTTTTTTCAGTAATTTTATTATGATGTGATTGTATGCGTGTATGCATGTGTGTGTTCATCTTGTTTGGAATTCATTGAAATTCTCAGTACGTGAGTTTATTTGCTTCATATTTGCAAACATTGTGACCACTGTTTCTTTAAATATTTTCCTCTTTTGAGTCCCTAATTATATGTACATTACAGCATGTTGATATTGTTCCAAAGTTTCAAAGGTCACTGATTAAGCTTTTTAAAATTCCTTTCCCTTTAGTTTAGATGGCTTCTGTTAGTGTCCTGTCAAGTTTCCTGACATTTTCTTTCTGTTAATTACATTCAGCGAATCTTTCACTTCATTTTCTTTTTTTTTGGCAGTAGTGGGGATTGAATTGAGGGCCTCCCCTTTGCTAAGCAAATGTTCTACTACTTGAGCCCTTTTGCTTTTCATTCATTTCTCAGATAGGGTCTCATGCTTTTGCTTGGGCTGGCTATGGACCGAGATCTTCCTACGTCTACCTTTAAAATACAGAAAACTTGTAGCTATATGCTTTCACTTACCATGTCTTCATTCTTTGTATTATTAAAGAAAGTGCCATGCTACTATATAGATTATAAACAATAATTTTTGCTCTAAATAATCATATATCTTTAAAGAGCATATAAAAAGGAAAGAAAAAAAGTCTTGCATTTACACACATTTTGTATTTTCAGTGCTCTTTATTTCTTTCTATAAATCCAAGTTACCATCTGATATCATCTATCTTCAGTCAAGTATCTCGTAGAGCATAATTCTGCTAGAAACAAATGGTTTCCTTTTTCATTTTATTATTATTATTATTATTATTATTTGAGTCAGGTTTCACTTCACAGCCCAGGCTGGCCTGGAACCCATGATCCTCTTGTGTCAGCCTCCTATAGGATTGCAGTATACACCCCATGCTCAGTAAATGATTTTCTGAAAACATCCTTATTTAACTTTCATTTTTGAGGAAGTTTTGCTGCATATAAAATCTTTGGTTGACAATTTTATTCTCCTTTCATTGCTTGAATATTAACTTTTAAACAAGAAAGAGTATTAATGATACTGTCATACATGTGAATGATGTATAATTTATCTCTTGATGCTTACAAGATTTTCTAATTATCTTTGGTATTTAGAAGTTTTTCCATGATGTACTTATATATGGGTGTACTTAATGTTATTTTGGCTATGTGATTTGGACTGTGTGATTTTCATTAACCTCTCTTGAAGTTCACTGCTTTTTTTCCTTATCCTAACTCCTATTGTGCCTATCTAATGCATTATTTTTAGTTAGTACACTTTCCAGTTCTGTAATTTGAATTTTGTTGTTTTCATAAACCTTATCTATTTACTCAATCCATTTTTTTGGCTTGTTTTTGTTTTCTGCAAGTGTTGGAGATTAAACTCAGGACATTGCACATGTTGAGGAAAGCCCTCTATAGTATTTTCTTCTAATTGCTGGAAAATAATCCCTTAATTCTTTGAATATATTTGTACTTGTTACTTATAAGTCTTTCTCTGCTAAGTCTAAGATGTGTCACTACTTAGAATGAATTCCTGAAATTTGCCTTCCCTTCTCCCCGCACCCTGCCCCCAGTGTCCCATTTGTTTATTTTTACTTTTGTTGCTAAAAATCATTTTGAAGGTATTGGAGACCCAGGACAGTAAGAATTTGAGAAAATGAAATTCAGAAGAAGAGGTCTAGAGGAATGAGACTGATATTAGACACCACATTTCACCTCCAGGCATTTGCTAATTTGTAAGTGGCAGCTGGTTGTCTAAAAGGCTTAGGAGTAGAAAGCAGTAGCTGAGATGTTGAGAAGATGAGTGGAGGTTTGGCAGGCTTGCCAAACAGCCTTTCAAAGTCACACGCTAGGATGGAGTGATACAGAAACAGACCAGCTGTCACAAAAGACAGAAACTCAGCTTCCAATCAGAACAGTCCCAGAAAGGAATAACCTGCCCCCTTTCTAATGGCCTTCCAGAAAAAGTAGAAATCTCCTCTGAGGAAGAGAACATCACTCAGGACCTTAAATTATCTCTAAAATTTTTCCTACATAATGATCAGAATGCACTGAAGAAATTATCACACATACCAGGATATAAGACCAAAACCAAGAGAAATAGAATCAAACCAAACCAAACACCACCAGACAACAGAAAAGAGACCCATGGGAAATCCAGAGATTACAACAATCAGAAAAGACTTCAGAATTCTTGATTTCTTATATTTATAGTTGTTGATTAAAAACAGGGGCTACTTGAGTCATTGGGGCAGCCAAATTTGAAAAGTACATAATTATTTATTTGCTTTGTGGTGCTGGGGATTGAACCAGGATCTCACACATGCTAGGCAAGTGCTCTATGACTGAGCTACATTCTCAGCCCTGAAAAATACTTTTTTAATAAACTCAGAATTTTTAAGAAGTCCCTACATTTATAGTGGTTGGTAATTTTGTAGCTTTTAATAACTTTGAACATTTTGAGTGTTAAATATTTATACGGGACTGTGCAATGTGGGAATAAATCGTGGTCTCGGTGTCAGAGCTTACCATCTGTGAGAATGAATAACTAGCTATCAAATATGAGCATGTCCTCATCTCTAGAACCTGAGACTATGTCACCTCACATGTTTAAAGGGACTTTGCAGATATTAAGAATTTTGAGATAGGGAGAGTAAACTGAATTATCCTGGTGGGCACAATGTAATGACAAAGTTTCTTGTAACTGGAAGGCAGGAGAATCAGGAGGTGTGGTCACAGAAGAGGTGTGAGTAACACAAGGAAGCTAAAAAGGCAAGGATATAGTTTCTTCCTGAGAATGTCCAGGAGAAACTAACCCTACTGACACCTTGACTTTAGCTCACTGAAACTGAAACTGGACTTCTGACATCTAGAACCAAAAAACAATATATGCTGTTTTAAGCCACTAAATTTGTGGCAAATTGTTATAGGTAATCCCCGAGATTAAACAAAAAGGCCACATTGATTCATAGTAGCAAACACTTTACTTTTTTTTGGACAGGATCTCTCTCTATAGAGCCTAGGTGTGTCTCCTGTCTCCCAGCCTCCCGAGTGCTGGGATACAGCGGGGCACCACCAGACCCGGCTATATTTCATTTAAGGGTTCTCTAGTAATTCCTAATAAGTATGTATTGATCTTTATGTTATTATTTTCTTTTGATGGACACTTAGATCGTTTCCTATCAGTACCTTTTACAAACCACGCTGCAATAAACCTTCTTGTAAAAAAATGTTTGTATAACTGTGCAATTTGGAGTCCCTATTCACGTGGCAGGTAATCTTGCTCAGTCTTCTTAAAATCAAGAGGAGAGTGGTTGGTATTAGTAACATTCCCAGTCAAGGGGGTTCGTAAAGTCACTTCTTTCACCCCGTAGTTTTCTCTCAAAAACAACCGGCAGGTGCAGGACAGCTGCAGGAACCCCAGTGGTGACGTCAGCAAACCAGCTGGTCCATGGACAAGGCCCTCCTGGAGTACCACCAGACCTTCCCGTCGAGCCCTCACCCCATCATTTCTGCCCTTTTTACTTTACACTGAGAGAGCAACTCCCCCAGGCATTACAAATGGCCTCTACACAGCAAGATGAAATTGAAGGCGCTGACACAGCGCGAGAAGAGTAGTGACTGGCCGCAAGGCCCCAGCGGGGACCGAGAACACTTGCGAGAACCGCTGTCACGGCGCAGCGTCGGCCCGTGCAGAAGACTCGCTTTCCCATCGGCCCCTGCAGCCCCAGGAGACCAGGGCTGCCGCGCGGGGGCGGGGCCTGGGCCGGAAGTCACGTGCGTGGCAGCGGCTGGGGTGAGGCCGGCGTCGCTGGCCAGGTTGGCTGGGGCTGTGTCTGTGGAGGCGCTGGGGTGATGGCGGTGGAGACTCTGTCCCCGGACTGGGAGTTTGACCGCGTTGACGACGGCTCACAGAGTAAGGGAACGTCAAGAGAGTCTGCGGGTGGCCGCTGCCTGGCCCGCTGCAGCGCTGACGGCGGTCCTACGGGAGGGCTCTGCGTCGCGGGTGTTGCGCAGCGTCCGGGTCGGGACATTTGTACCCCGTGGAGTGAGAGGGACGCGCGCTGCAGCAGGACTTTCGTGGTCGGGGTTCCTGCAGTGGCGGGTCAGGCTGGGTCTGTTTCGGCGGGCGCGGCGGTGACCTTCCTCGCTACCCCCACCCCCTCCGCCAGAGGAGCGGCGTCCACTTTCCTGAGCCCCGGGCTCGCGTGGGGTTGGGCGGGGCGCGCCCGGGAGGCCCGGAGTCCCCTGTCCCCCGGAACCCCGCATCCCCCGGGGCCTCGCAGCTCCCGGGTCTTGCGCAGTCCCCCGGGAGCCCTGCAGCCACCCCCTCCCCGGGAGTCCCGCAGTGCCCTGGAACCCCTCCCCCCCGGAACCCCTAAGCCTCCGGGACCCCTGAAGCCTAGCCCGCCCCTGGCTCTCAGACGCCGGGTTTTCGCCGGATCCTCGGCGTTAGGTTCTACAAGAGGCTCAGGTCTCGGTTCCTGTTTCGGTTTCCTGTTTCTCTTTTTTTCTCGCAAACCAACTTTTGGAAGTTTGGGCTCATAGTCTTAGAACCGCAGAAGGTAGCGAGGAAACAGCTCTTCACGCGGGGAAAAGAAACACGGGAATGCCATTTTATCTTTTTCTGAGCCTTTTATTCATGTGATGTGTTATTTTTCAGGGATGTCCTGCAGTTGTTTAAACCTACAAAGGTTTAAAAAAAATCTTCAAATTGTTTCATAAATTAGAGTCATTTTATTTTTCAACTTAGAAGTCAGTCCCCCGAAACCTAACAAATTCTGTTTTAGCAAAATGTAGAGAGGTCAAATTAATTAGTGAAACTCCTCTTGAGATTAATACAGAGTTGCAATGTTTCTTATCTTTGGTGGTTTTGATCTGTATGATAAGTGAATAGGAGATACTGGGGCATGCAGTTTGGGAGTATTATATGCAGGTATGCAGACTTTCCCCAAAAGCTGGAGTGTCATTTAAAAAAAAAATTAGCTGAGCTTTGTTTGATTTTACAATGACTAATATCTACAAACTTAGATGTAATTAGGTTTTATTCGTCTCTCGAAGTTACCCTGCATGCTGAATGGTTTGCAGTTTTTCGCAAAATATCCCTTAAGATGTTAGTTCTTTTGCAGCATTAAAAAAATGTAAAGTGAACTGCACCTCATCATCTGTGATTTGATGATGGGTAAAGATTCCTGGCTTTGATACCCTCAAAAAGTTGCTATGTTACTGGGTTTGAAAATGGTTCAGCTTGAATGATCTGATTCACTCAGGATACATTTTCTATACTCTAGTTGCTATTGGGAGTACAAAAATAAGACAAGGAATGCAGTCTACTGAAAGAAATAAGCATGTTATGCAGGTCTTTGGAGTTTTGAAGACTCACCAGGTAGTTTTTAAATCAAATCTTTGCACTTTAACTTTTACCAATTTTACAACTATTCATTATCTTATCAGCAAGGAGGTTTAGTGTTATTACAGGTTTTCTGTTGCCCTCTCTCTCCCTTGTGAAATCCCAGACTAATGCTTTATTAGCACAATTTTCTAGCATTGTTTTTAAGAACTCTTTTGCTGGTCAAATGAAGCTTTTGTTGTTGCACATGTAGCTGAGAATCAGACATCAACTTGGGGTTCTGAGAATCTTCAGTTTTTTAATGTTTGTGGCAGAAAAGAGAAGACTTCTTACCTCTTTGCTGTGCCTGTTTTCCATTAAATTTTGGACTTTGAATCATAGACTAATTCTTTTCCAAAATTACCTATATTAATACTATAAAATAGGAATCTTAGTGAACCAAATTGATTTACTGGATTCAGGGCATTCGTTGTAAAGTGAAGGTGAATAGGGAGGTAGGTCTTTACACTTTAATACAGCATGAGTCGGATCACACTTTTAGAGTTGCTTCACATTACTAACTTGAAGAGGAAAATAATTCTTTTTTTGGAAAATTAAGATTGAATAAAGTTATATATGTCAACAAGAAAGTTGGAGTTGAATTTGCTGCTTTGGGGAATAAGGAATGAACTCATAAGATGGAATATTTATGTTTATTAGTTTTGATAAATAGGCATTTAAAATAGCTAGTTTCATTGACTCTAAGTTTAAAGTCACTCTTAATGTGTAAATTCTGTGGATATCAACATAACATTCTGTACCCAACCAGTTTTTTTTAAACTGTTTTTCTCAACTTGTGATAAATAATTAAAACATTTTGTTTAGACTCCACAGCAGCTTTAAAACCTTCACTTAAAGATATTTGGAGCCAGGTGTGTGGCTTATGCTTGTAATCCTACCTACCTAGGGGCTGAGATCCTGTGGATCAAGGTTCCAGGTGAGGCTGGGTTTAAAAAAAAAAAAAAAGACACTATCTCAGAAATAACCAGAAAGAGCTGGAGGTATGGCTCAAGTGGTAGATAGAGCATCTGTCTAGCAAGCATGAAGTCTGAAACTCAAACACACACAAAAAAAGTATGTGTTTTTTAAGCAGTTTACTGTGTATGGAATTAAGTAAATAAACATTTTAAAATTAACATTTTAAAATATTGCTTCTGTAACAGTTTTTTAATACTGCTTCAGGTCAGGTCTTGAATTTTTTTTTTGCAGCGTTGTGACTAAAATGTAGTACAGGACTCAGAATTGTCAAAGGCATTATTCAGACTGGTTAAGGCCTAAATTGTGGGGTAAGTGGGCTATAGCTTTTAAAATTGTTTGTGTCTTTGGAGGAAACTGAAAGCTGAATTATTGTTTAACTTTGGAACTTTATTTTCAAGAAATTCAGACTTCTCAAAGTAATAATTAACTATGCTTTGCTGTGACTTTTCAGCTATTTGAAGTAAATGTTCAGTAATTCATTACTAGTACTTACACTGTTTTAAAATTTAAATTTAGAAATTCATGCCGAAGTTCAGCTTAAGAATTATGGGAAATTTCTTGAGGAATATACATCTCAGTTGCGAAGAATTGAAGATGCGTTGGATGATTCAATTGGAGATGTTTGGGATTTCAATCTTGATCCTATAGCATTAAAGGTTTGATTTTTATTATTTTCATTTATGTATATATTTCAGGACATATGAGATTTTGAATATGTCATTTTTAAAAAGTGTTTTTATTTGAAATCTTAAGAGTCAAGAGAAACTTGGAAGAAATTGTCAATTTCTTTTTCTCTGTGTTTTACAGGTGTTTTTGAGAGAATGATACAAACCCAAAGCCTTGAGTTTGTATCATAGCACAGACTTCAACTGTTTGAGATAGTATTTGTTTTTTATCATCAAGAAAATGAAGAGGGCTGGATAGGACATTCAGGCTTTGTTTGTTTCTTTTTATTGAGGTTGTTTTTACATACACTCAAATATACACATTTTTAAGGATACTGCTCATTGAATGTTGCCAAATGCATAAGCCCATGTAACTCATATCCTTTTCAAGATATGAATGTTTCCATCATAAATTGCCTTGTGTTGATATTGGGACTCTTTAAATGGGAGTAATTTTTTAGTGTATATAAATCAGGGTACTCTGTTTGTTCCATTTTAGTTATATCTTTGAAACAGTGGTCACCACTTAAATAATTACTAGTATCTGTTGAGCACTTATGTATACTATCCTAACTAAGCCACATATAAACTTTTTTTTTTTTTTTTTTGTGGTACTGGGGTTTGAGCTCAGGGCCTAGAGATATGTTACCTTGAGCTATGCCACCAGCCCCCTAATTTTTTTTTTGTGTGTGTGATGGGTTTTTTTCACAATGTGGTCTCACGAACTGTTTGCCTTTGCTGGCTTTGAACTGCAATCCTCCTGAGCTCTGCCTCTTGAGTAGCTAGAATTACAGGTGTAAGCCACTGGTGTCTAACACATACAAAACTTTCTTATGAGAACTTTCTTGAGCTATAACTTACATTATGCAGTTCTCCCATTTAAATTGTACAGTTCAGTGGCTTTTTTAGTATAGTCACAGAATTGTACAACCATCACCGTTATCAGTTATAGAACATTTTTACCACCCAATAAAGAAATCCTGTACCTATTAGTGGTTATCCATCCTCTGCTCCCATACTATACTATACCAACACCCAGCAGCCCTAGGCAACTACCAATTTACTTCATTTCTCTATGAATTTGTCTGTTCTGGACATTTCATGTAAATGAAGCCATACAACACATGTTCTTTTGTGTCTGGCCTCTTTTACTTACATAATGTATTCAAGGCTTATATACATTGTAGTATATGTCAGTACTTTATTCTTTTTATTACTGAATGATAGTTCATTTTGTGGAATGGATATATCACATATTAACCTACTCATCTGTTGATAGACATTTAAGTTTTTCTACTTTTGGCACAAGTTTTCATGTAGACATGTTTTTATTTCTGTTTGCTGTGCACTAGAAGTGGAATTAGTGGGTCATATGGTAACTATACTTTCTGAGGATCTGCCAGACTTTTTCCCAGTGTGGTTGTACCCTTTTATATTCCTACCAGCAATATATGAAGGCTACATCATTGTCAACACTTGTTATTTGTCTTTTTGGTTATAGCCATCCCAGTGAGTGTGAAGTGATATTTCATTGTTGCTTTGACTTGGGTTTCTTCATAGGTATTGATGTTAATTGTCTTTTCATGTGCTTATGAGACTTTTGTATGCCTGTGGAAAAATGTCTGTGTAGAGCCTTTGCCTTTTTGTTCCCCCCTTCCCCCTGGTGGGATTTGGTTATGTTGTCCTGGGTGGCCTCAAACTTTTGGGCTCAGATGATTCACCTGCCTCAGCCTCCCAAGTAGTTGGGACTACAGGTCATGCCTATGTGCCTGGCCCTTTGTTTATTTTTAAATTGGGCTGTAGGACTTTTAATTCCCACAACCATAGACTAGAGGTATAATAGCATCCCAATTGCAAATGAGAAAACGTAGGCATAAAAATGTCACCCAACTTATTCAAATAAGTGATACAGTTTTTAAGTGGTTAATCAATAAAAATTGGACAATTTTTTCCAGAGCCTGTGCCCTTATCCATACTCTAAACTGCCTTATGAGTGCTTATGAATTTGTAAACTGAAATCGCTTGAGACTTTATGGTCTTGCGGGCTAGATAGGCTTAATATTATTTTAAAACTCTCACCCAAATTTGTCATCTCTTTTGTTCTTCCACACTTGTCTGAGAATCATAGTATGTAAGTTAGAAGACTTACACTAGGAAGTTGTCATTCTCAACCTGGACCATCTTTGAGGGTAATGAGTTTCAGATGTTTGTCCCTGGTCACTCACCCTCCTTATGGATGGAGCATAAGTAGAATCACCACAACGTGATTGTCCTAGATTTGGGCCATTTCTTCTTGAGCTTGCTTACTTTTCTTATTTTGTTGTCTGTTGATACTGTTTTGAATAAAATAGTTGATTTGGTGATAATGCTGAAAACTTGTGTTTAACACAGGTTTAAATAGAGCTTGTCTCAATTTGTGCACTTAAAATTTCAGTGATTTTTTTTCCCCCCTCCAAATTGAAATGTTCTTTTCCTTTATTTCTCTAGCTTTTGCCTTATGAACAGTCTTCTCTTTTGGAACTCATAAAGACTGAAAACAAGGTATGAAATCATAAACCTAAAAATGCATTAAAAATTCTCTTACTATTATAATTTACTTTTTTCTGTTTTATCTTTTCACTCATGAAACTAGGTCTTAAACAAAGTCATCACCGTTTATGCTGCACTTTGTTGTGAAATCAAAAAGTTAAAATATGAGGTAATTATTTGTATTCTTATCTTAAAATTTTAAAAACAGATCATTTAAAAGCAAACATATGCTTATATATGTGCAACATGCAATAAGTATTGAACATTGACTGAATTAAAGTAATAGTATGCTAATGATACCAATAATGAGTACTAATAGTAATAATACCATTTATTGAGTACTTACAATGTGCCTGCACCATGCTAGCAGTGTTACTACTGTAACACCTCAGGGAGGTAGACAAGGAACAGATAAAGAGATCTAGGCTTCAAGAGGGTGTTACTTGCTGAACATCTTACTGAGCAGAATAGCTCGTATCTATCTGCATACTGCTAGCTAACTGGAACTGATTTTTTAAACGCTTTGAACCTTTAATATGAATTTAGTTTTGTTTCCTTACCAAAGAGCCACTAAATTCTGGTAGAAGTTCATAAATGTCATCTTCTTCTCTACCCTCTTTGACACTGTGGTTCACGACTGTGAGCTAGTAAGAGGACGTGGGTAAGGTGGTCATATAAGACAAAGTAAAAGCTAAAGGAATCAGGACAGCTTTGAGTATTGTAATATCTGTTACTCTATAAGTAAACTGAATTTACTTATAAGCAGTTTTTAGAATTTAAATAAATTGACGTGAATGATGTAGTTTTCTGTTATTAAATAGAGAGAATTGAGAGCATAGGAATTTGAAAACAGCAATCTTTAAAATTATTTTAATTTTTTTAAAACAGGCTGAAACTAAATTTTACAATGGTCTCTTGTTTTATGGAGAAGGAAGTAAGTATTAAAATTTCAAAATTGAAATGTGGTGGTACTTTCTATGAAACAGAAATGAACAAAAAGTTAACAGACAATTGTAGACCTAATGGGATTTTAAAATGTATGAGTGTGAGAAAATAAGCGTTCATTTTTTTTGTTGGTTTGTTTGGCTCACTAGGTGAAAACAATTGAGTGATGAAGCAGTAGCAAATTTCTAAAACTGGTGATATTTTTATAAGTTATAAAATACTGTAACTAGATGAACATTTTCCTCAGCTTCATTAAGTAGTACAGCAGGTTATTGCTTTTAATTATGTGTAGTGATTGGTTTTTCCCTTTGATGTAAGAATTCTGAGTTTTCAGTAATAAGCAAATTAGTAGATGTCCTAATGAAAATAATAGCTTTTTTTCTTTTTTTGGTGTTGAGTTCAGATTAAAAAATTAAAATACAATTTTTCATGTTGTCTTAAAGCTACAGAGTCCAGCATGGTGGAAGGTGATTGCCAAATTCAAATGGGGAGATTTATTTCATTTTTACAGGTGACTGATTTCTACTTTCTTTTGCCCTTTTCTTTAAAAAGTTGCATAACCTACACATACTTAAAAAAGTCCTGAAACCTTCAAAAGCTAAAGATGTGTACTCTGAATAGAGAATTATTAAGTATTGGATTATAGGTTAGGAAATAACTCCTGAAAGATTTCTAAGCATTTTTAGGGGACTAAGGTATTAAGATTAGTTTCTTTGTATAACTTTATTTATGGACAGTTTATCCCCATGCCTTTTGAAAGAATTTGAACTTCTTACCAGCTGGAGAAAGATAAATTGTGTCAGGAAAAGTTGAAAATGGAAAGTATTGAGCCCTGATGAGATTGTAAAAAGCAACAGCACTTGATAATTATAGCAGAATGTTTCCATTTGGAAATAAATGCTTTTCATCAATGGAAAGTTTTAGTGATTTCAGGTCTTGGGGCTTAATTTTATCAAAGGCATGAAATAACTTCTGGATAGCAATGCATATACAATGTGAAAAAAGCAAAAATTGGAGATGAGGAAAAAAATACCTATATACCTTGTTGGGAACAAATTCGAGTGTGCTGACATTATTCAAATCTTTTGTATTGTCACTACCTTTTTGGAAGTCTTCTTGACCTTATTGGGAGCATTTTGTTGATAATATGCTATATATTACTCAAAGTCCTGTCTAGAAAACAAATCACCCAAGGTAGTTCAGAAGATGTAGGTCAGAGGATACAAAGTGGCGTATATGCAGGATTTAGCATTCTAGCTATCTCATGTACACCATGAGGAGAATAGGTAATAAAATTGTCCCATGTATGGGATTCAAGCCTAATGAGCAGGTTTTAGCTGCTTTTGCCATAAAAGCAACAACAAAAAAAGAATAACTAATGTGAGATGATGGACATGTTAATTTGCTTCACCAGGGTATTCTTACTTACCTATATGTGCTCCATAACATGTTGTATACCTTAAATATATGCAGCAATTTTTTTTTAAGGGGGATTTAATAAGGAGAATTTGTTCCACGGGAATTAGAGGATCAAAAGAACAAAACAGATTATTCAAAGAAAGCAGATATCACCTTCACATTCCAGGAAACCAAAGGGAAATGGTTGCTCCTGCTAGAATTTTAGAGCTTGGAGAAATAGCCTTATGGAATTGTTGCTCCTACTTCTGAGGATGTGGCTCTGTCTGGCTATTGCTGGTACCTCAGAGAGGAATTTGCAGTTGTTTTTGGAATGCTGAAAGAAGTTAGATACTGGTGCAAACTGCCATTGTTGAGGTGAACTCTTCAGATTATCTTGATAAAAACAGCAAAAAATGCCTTCCAGTCTGCTGTTGGCAGGACCTGACAAAAGTGTATTGGATAGTATGGTGTCTAAGAAATGTAGGTTGCAGAATCCGTTTCTCTTCTTAGTTTTATCAGATTTTGCACTTATTTTGATGACACTTTGATGCATACAAGTTGAGAATTGTTAATGAGTCCTTATAAATTGAATCTTTCATCGTTATGTCATGACCATCATGATGCTATTTTTTTCCAGGCTCCCAGGTTCTAGCAACCATTTCTCTTTAGTTGCCTGGATATAGAGGTGGTATCTGCTTTCTGTGGATAACCTCACTGATTTGTTCTGGTTCTCTATGTTAAATCCCCCCCTTTCTTTTTTTTAGAAAAGTAAATATCGTTGTATACATTTAAGGTATACAACATGATGCTATTGAATACATACTGTAAAAGGGTTATTCTAGTGAAGCAAATTAGCATGTGTATCATCTCACTGCCACTCAAGTTTTTTGTTTTTGTAGCAAAAACTATGATAATTATGTAAACATATTTTACAATATAGGTTAAGTATCTGAAAATCCAAAATCTGAAACCTTTTGAACACTGACATGACATCACAAGTGGAAAATTCCACACCCTACAGTGATAAAAATACTGCATAAAATGATTTTCAGGCTTTGTATATAAGATATTACATGAAACATAAATGAATTTTGTATTTAGACTTGAGTCCCATGCTCCAGATAATCTCATTATGTGTATGCAAATAGTTCCAAATCTGAAAAGTTCAGGTACTTGAAACATTTCTGGTGCCAAGCATTGCAGATGAGGGATATTCAGCCCGTGGAATTATAAACTGTTACAATGCCAATATAGTCTTTTGCCTGGTAATAATATTGCTGCCATTGCTCTGTTTTATTTGACATTGAAAAGTTTATCTTTTTTCCATTCTTGTAACATTTTATTGTCATTATGTTTTAGTTGCATTTCTTTAAAACTGCATGTATAACCATGTACTGTATAACAACATTTTGGTCAACAGTGGACCTTATTTACAACAGTGTTCCCATAAGATTATATATTGCTTAGCAACATCATAGCCATATTGATTTGTGTTAGTATACTCTGAGTCTGTGCAACAACTAAACTGACTAACAGTGATTCTCAGAATGTATCTCTGTTGTTAAGCTCATAATGAATGGCTGGATTTTGCCTTTTTATGTCATCTAACAGTGTTTTAATTGGTTAACTTATTCTGTTTATCCCTTATAAAGTCTGTCTGTATATCTGGACTTGTTTCTACTTTGTATTTTGTGCTTTCTATTTGCCCTGCATTTTCTATTCTTCTCTCTGCTTTCAGTTAACATTTAAAAGTTTAATAACAAATGTAATACAAGAGCTGTTTAAGTAAAATTAAGTTGCATTATTTAGTTGGGCGTGGTGGCACATGCCTATAACCCCAGCACTCGGGAAGTAGAGGTAGGAGTATTAGGAATTGAAGGCCCGCCCGGCTAGGTCCTGGTATCTCATGCCTGTAATTCTAGTTAGTCAGGAGGCAGAGATCAGGAGGATCGAGGTTCAAGGCCACCATGGCAAATAGTTTGTGAGACCCTATCTTGAAAAAAACCCATCCCAGAAGGACTGGTAGAGTGGCTCAAGGTGCAGCCCCTGAGGTCAAACCCCAGTACAGCAAAAAAAAAAAAAAAAAAAAAAGGCCAGCCTAGACTGTATAGCAAGGCCCTGTCTAAAATAAAAATTACTTTATTTTCAAAAACTTTAAATTGTTTTTAGATCTACTGATAACTGCACAAAAGTTTCATTTTAAGATGTTCAACAAATGCATGTGGTGAGCCTGGTTTATGTTAAAAACTGTTGCTGGTACCTGGCAGCATGGCTCACATCTGTAATCCCAGCTGTTTTGGAGATAGAGATTGGGAGGATTATGTTTGAGGCCAGCTAGGGTAAAAAGTTAGTAAGAACCTTTTAATCAGTAAGCTGGGTACCTGTGGCCTCAGCTACCTGGGAGGAGATAGATAGAAGGATCATGGTCTGAGGTTGGCCTTGGGCAGAAATGGAACATCATACCTGAAAAATAAAGCAAAAAAGAGGGTGTGGCTCAAGTGGTAGAACACCTGTTTAGTAAAGTTTGAGATCCTGAGTTCAAACCCCAGCACCACACACACACTTAAACCCAAACAACAACAAAAAAGTCTGTTCTTGGTGCTAGAGATACAATAGCACATAAAAATAGAAATTTCTGTCTCATAGAGCTTAAAATTTAGAATAGCTATAAATTTAATTAGGTGTTAAATATTTTAGATACAAACTGTTTCTAAAGGTTTAAAAGTTGAGAGCTTCTAAAAACAATTTTTCAGAAGATCTGGAACTGAATTATTTAATGTCAGACATCCCTGGGAAAATTGATATTTCACTTGCTGTGTGCCAAGCCTGCTAACGATGCGATTAAAGGTAATAAATGTTTGAAGTGATTTCAGAGTGACTTTTGACGATCACTTTCTTTCATCCTCATCCTTTCCAAACTGGCAGCTTCTGAACCCTTCATTTAAATGTTCATTCATTGACTCATTTAATAGGCTAGAGGTTTATTGACAAGCATTTGAGTTTAGCCACCATCCTAGGCAGTGGATATTCAAAGAAGGAATGAGTTAGTACCTGTCATTCAGGAGCTGTATGAGTAACTAAAATAAAAAAATTCAGTGGTAGCAGAGGTAAGAATGACCCTGGGATGCAGGAGGTGAGTTAAATTATCGCTTGAGAGATGTTTAAGTTGTCTGGCTGCTGGTTTAATAGAGATTTCACTGGGAAACTATTTTGTTTTTGTTAGATTTGTTACCATAAAATTCAGCAAAAAATGGTGACATTTAAAAACTTACTGTATAACATATACTTGTCATTTCAGGAACTCTCTTGTTTTGTTACGAGGTGCTATGAAGTGGTGATGAATGTAGTCCATCAGTTGGCTGCCCTGTATATCAGTAACAAGTAATGAATTTTAGAAATATTTTTGCTTTTTATAATGGAGATGCAGGAAATGTTTTTCCAAAAACTAATGATCTGAAAGAGTTTTTTGTTCACTTACTCATTTAGTATTCTTTGAACACTTGTGATGTCCTAAATACTATTAGATATATATGTTACGTAGATTCATAAGGCACAATGTCTACCATAGTGCATGAACTCATTATCTAAATGATAATGTTCACAGAAAACTCTTTAAAAAAATTTGATCACACAGAAAGAAACCTATTATGGAATTAGTTCATATTCTGTGTTCTCTTTCTTTTGTGACTATGGTAATGGTTCTATAGCTCTTTAGGCACATGAGACTCTTCTTAAAATATGAAATCTTGGGGGTAGAGTTAGGGAATAAGTCTACATTGAAAAAAATGTATAGTTCTAAAGGTCTTCCAAGTTTAGAGATCACTTACCCTAAATTAAGAAAAAAGCAAGGATCACATTTTCATAAAGCTCTTGCTAATCTTACTACCATAAAATAATGTCTAACAATCAATTAATTCTTTATACTTAAAATATTTTCCACATTGGGTGCAGCGGCTCATGCCTGTAATCCTACATGAGAGGCAAATAATTTGAAGATTGAGGTTTGAGGCTAGCCATGCAAAAAGTTTGTGAGACCCCCCCTGGCCCCCATCTCAAGGAATAACTGGGTATGGTAGTGTTCACCTGTCATCCCAGCTAAATCGGAAGTATAAATAGGATCTCTCTCCAGGCCAGCCTGGGCATAAGTATGAGTTGTATCCTTGTAATAACTTTATTTAGGTATATGACTAGGACTTTTAATGCTATGAAGAGATAACTGAGGCCCAGATGATTTATTTGCTAAGATTCCATAGTGACTCAGAGACTGCTGTTTTGGTCACCAGTCCATTTATTATTGTTCTTACTAAACCATTTTTTATCTTCCCTCTATAAGTGGGTAAACTATGTTTACCATTTCTCATTCTCATGTAGTCCTCCTCAGATGATTATTGTTTTGGCTTTTCACTGAAGCTATTCTCATGGCAAGAGGGAATGACAGCATAGGTTCTTCACCCCCAGAATACCTGGTGTGTAATTCTGAGCGTCTTCCCCACCTCTGCCTTAGAAGGATGAAATTTAGTTGAATTTTCAAATGCATATTTTCAGATGAAATGGTTTCTGTATGTACTTTGATGTACAAGTACTAGTTAAATCTTAAATTTTTGCTGGAAATTTAGGAAGGAAATAAACTTGAACTTTTTGTGGCTTTCCACTCTGGTATAATCTGAGAAGTACGCTTTGTTTTTAGTAGGCAGACTTAGACTTGACTGAAGGGAGGACTAGTTTCCATATGCCAACTTGGATAGGATAAAAAGATTGTTGTTGGTTAATTGAGAAATTCTGATAGTTCAGAAAGATGAATGTGAACTTTATTTTTCTACCTCCATCTCAGGGTGCATCCTTTAGGGTTATATGGCTAAGGTTATTCATGGGCCACATGTTTTCATGTCTTGCCTGTGAGTGGGGTATAGGCAATGATAGCCCAGACTCTGCATAAGTTGGTTCCTTTTTTGGAATAGTGGAATATTGTAATTTCTTAGATCTCTTAAATTATAGTGACTGACTTTAATAAACATAAATATATGACAAAAAGGATTTTTTTTTAACTTGGGTGATATTTTATTATAGGATTGCACCCAAGATTATAGAGACAACCGGAGTTCATTTTCAGGTAACAGTAATTTAACTTGACCTATAAAACTGTATTTTTCTTTGGAATTTATATGATTGGAAAGTACAATTAAACTCTTAGAGGATTTTTTTTTTATATTCTTTTTTGTTTGTCTAGTTGACGAGGCATAACTGTCAGTGTAACTCTTAGTTTTTCCTAGTAGTGGCGCAGTGCACATCATTCTCCAAGTAGTCTCTTTGGTTAGTGAAGCAAATCTTCAGTGTAACAATTAAGGAAGACATATTGAACAAAGTGTTTTCTGTTTAAGGCTAATAATGCCTTTTGAGGATCAAATTTGTAGGTTAGTAAACTGATTTACCCCCTGCTTTAACTAAGTCAGTGATTAACTCAAATGGTTTTTACTTTAAAAATCCACATGAGACTTAACTTCTAACTAGTGACTAAATGATAATCATTAAAGGTTTTTTGACAGACTATGTATGAGCACTTGGGAGAACTGCTAACAGTTTTGCTTACCCTGGATGAAATTATTGATAATCATGTCACACTGAAAGACCACTGGACTATGTACAAAAGGTACACTAACTCAAATATTTTAAAATAGTCTCCTATTTTGTATGGTTAATGTATTAGTAAAAAAGTAAACAAATAAACATAATAAATCATGCAGATCCTATAAGAGAACTGGAGATCTGTATCGAGAAGGAGTTCCTGTCAAATAGTTTTACGAAGTTAACACCATTCTTTGATTTCAGATGGGTTTGTTTGAGAGTATGATATATAAAGCACCCTAATTGTTAAAGTGTAGTAGAATGTTAATTTGCTTACCTTGGGTCAGATTTATTTTTTCATTGAGATTTACTCAAGTAAAAATTTTTGTCCTGAGCTTGGTTTCTTTTTATTAGATGCTATAGAAGTTTAATTTTGTTCAGTTTATAAATACTTATTGAATGTCTGGTATGTTTATAGCACTAGGCCTCTGAACTTAAGATGATACAAAGAAGCACAAGAAAATTAAATATATTATTAATACTAATATATTAACGTGTTGAATTTTCAAATGTGTAGATCCAAATAAGAGTAATATAAAATTTTGGTTTCTGGGAAAATATTTTTTTAAAGACTTTATTAGCTAGCTATAAGATCTGTCTCCTGATCTTCCACAAGGTTACTGAAATCTGTCCATCACAACCCTTCAAAATTTGGAATTCAGGAAGAAAAACTAAAGCCATTTGAAAAGTTCTTGCTAAAGTTAGAAGGGCAGTTACTTGATGGAATGATATTCCAGGTGAGTAGAGCTGTATCAGGCTGTTAAAGATGGGTTCATATGAACTGACCCAGCTCAGAATTATAGTAGGACACTTTCATAGTATATTGCTGATTTTTTTCTTTAAAAAAGTACTTTGGCTTAAAATCATTATCATTGTATTAAAATATAACTATCTCAGTATCAAATAGCAAAAAAAAGTTGAAAGTGTATTGGTTGTACTTGAGGTAAGGGTTTTTAAAAAATGTAAAAGAATAAAACTTAAGATCTAAATTAAAGCATTTGTATTAAGTATTATTAGCTTCTAGATTTAGGTTTGCACTACAACCTTTAAAAAGTCTGATTTACTCTTCTTATGGTCAGGGTGTTTAATTTGAACCTGTACAGTAGGGTAACTTCTCAATCCAAATTGACTAAAGTCAAATTAAATTAAAAAAAAGAACAAACCCCACTTCCTTAGTTATATAGTACATTTCAATTGCTTATAGCCAAACAGTTCTTGGTTTAACCATCTTAGCACAGAAGCAGAGCATTTTGTCATTCCCAGTTCTGTTGGATAGTGCTGCCTTGGGTAGTGTTCACCAGTATCTCTATCATATTTCATTTTACATCTGCTTCAGGGATAGTTTTAGTTTATATTTTCTATAATTACAATTTTATCCAATTTGTCTCTACCCTGTTTTCATCAGTTTAACCATCATTTGGTTATTTTTTCAGAAGACATTTTTACACGTGCTGCAATAAAGTAGTAGAAAAGTAATTATAAGCAGAAAACACAAACAGGTTTTTTTTTTTCCTGTACTGGGGCTTGAACTTGGGGCCTTTACCTTGAGTCTCTCCACCAGCCCTATTTTTGTGATGGGTTTTTCGAGGTAGTGTCTTGCGAACTATTTGCCTGGGCTGGCTTCAAACTGCGATCCTCCTGATCTCTGCCTGCTGAGTAGCTAGGATTACAGGCGTGAGACACCATGTGCCTGGCTAACAAACTGTACTCTTAAGTGCAAAGTGAAATAAAAACCATACTTTCCAATGCATCATCAGAAATGTTTTGTATACATCTCTGAGCATCGCTCTTTGTATCTTTTCATACAGAATTAGATACTTGGGGTTATTTTATTTTTTTACTTTCACATAACTGGTACATACACATTTTCCTATCAAAAGGATTTAGATATTAGATTAATCAGCTTCAGTTTTAGTAAAATTAAAATGACTGTAAAAGGTTATTGCACACTATATCTAAATGCTTCATAGCTTATTATTTATAGTCTTGATTTCTCTTTAAATGTTTCCTGTCTAGGCCTGTATAGAACAACAGTTTGATTCTCTAAATGGAGGAGTATCTGTGTCAAAAAATAGCACTTTTGCTGAAGAATTTGCACATAGTATTCGTTCAATTTTTGCAAATGTAGAAGCCAAACTTGGTAATGTAAATTGCATGTTTAGTTTTTGTTCATAAAATTTGCATTTTCTTAAAAGCATAATTTAATTTGTGCTTTCATCTTACTGCTTTATAAGGAGAACCTTCTGAAATTGATCAAAGAGACAAATATGTTGGAATTTGTGGACTCTTTGTATTGCACTTTCAAATTTTTAGAACTGTTGATAAGAAGTTTTATAAGTCTTTATTGGACATTTGTAAGAAGGTAAGACTTGGAAATTTTATTTTTCACTTTGAGTAGATTTAAAAGATTTTTGATAAAACGAGATATTTAAAATGTGTTTTTAAATGTTTTTTAAAATAAGTAAGTAAATAATTATTTACAAAAGTAATTTGGTGGGCTGGTAGAGTGGCTCAAGTAGTTGAGTCCCTGCCTAGTGTGACACTCTGAGTTCAAAACCCAATAATGTCTCCCCCCCAAAAAATTGATAATGTTCATTTTTATTTAAGTTTCAAGCATTCTAGAAATAAGTAACATAGTAAATGAAAATGCTGTATAATTTCATTTCATATGGATGTGTATGTTGGTGGATATTCTTCAGATTTTTTTTCTTACATATTTAACTTTCTGTACTGCTATATTTTTCCTTTTTTTCTGATTTTAATTTTTCTTCCTCTTACCATTCATTCTTACTGTTGATGTAGAAAAAAAATTTTCTACATCTTTGCTATTTCCATCATATGACCCCTGATTTCAAAATTGAAAATTTAGTTTGTGAGTAGTAACATCAAATGATGGGGACCATGAGGACCCAGTTACTTTTTCTTTTTAGTTTTTTCACTGGCGTAGAATGAAAATAAGAATATTAGGTTTCAACTTTCTGCAGTCCATGAGTGTGTATTGTGTGTGTGTGTGTTAATATTTAGGCAGCAATAAAATTGTTGTGCTCAACATTAGATACCGAAATGCTTTCACCGTATGCCATGTAAGTTACTTGCTTCATAGCATATTAATGAGGTTTTTTTGTGATTATTATTACTTGGAATGAATTGTCTTCCATGTGCACTGTAGAACTATTAATAAGTTTATTTTTCTGCCTACGTTAATTTTTTTTTCCTCTTATATTATTTCAGGTACCTGCCATTACTCTAACTGCTAATATTATCTGGTTTCCTGATAATTTTTTGATCCATAAAATACCAGCAGCTGCCAAACTTCTAGACAGAAAAAGTCTTCAAGCCATTAAAATACACAGGGATACTTTCCTACAGCAGAAAGCTCAGTCACTTACCAAGTAGGTTTTATAAGCAACTGTTAATGAAAATACTTCTTAAGATACTTTATACTGAAAGCATTTAAATTATAAGATCAAATTTACTAACTCATTGCCAGAGAAAGGTTGGGCAGTCTCTGGAAGACTTGTTTTTATAGAAACTGTTTTTTCCTTAATGTTTTAGGCTTTAAGTTAGTTTAAGATGCAGGCAAGTTGTACTTTTGGACACACACACACACACACACACACACACACACACACAGTTTTTTTTTAGCAGGTATATTAAATATTTTTTATTTTAAGTGAAGTGAAGTCTCCTGTTCATTTAAGGTATGTCAGTTGATGACGTTACTAACACTCAGTGTCCATGATGAGTTCTGGAGGAGTTGACTTTAATATGATGCTCTTTTCATGTCCCTCCCCCTCCACCCTTTTTTTTTTTTTTTTTTTCTTGTGGTATTGGGGCTTGAACTTAGGGCCTACACCTTGAGCCACTCCACCAGACTTTTTTTGTGAAGGGTTTTTTTGAGATAGGGTCTTGAGAACTATTTGTGTGTGCTGGCTTCGAACCACGATCCTGCTGATATCAGCCTCCTGAGTAGCTGGGATTACAGGCGTGAGCCACCAGCGCCCGGCCCTCCCCTCCCCTTTTTTTGAAAATAATGTATGCATATATTTAAAAAATTCAAACAGCTGAAGTTTGAAAGGGATAATTAATTGTTCCTAATGTAGCTTCTCCTTGTATCTTAGTCCTTTCTAAAAGATGACCCAAGCATTGTATGCACATATGAATAAAAAAAAAAAAATTAAAAAAAAAATGAGAAGAGGGAAAGACCAGAGGTTGTACTTATGTGGACGTACTTTCTGTCTCTTACCTTTGGATTCTCCCAGCAAAAAGGCCATCACCAGATACAGGCCCTCGAACCTTCAAAACTGGGAGCTTAATAAATCTCTTTTCTTTATAAATTAAAAAAAAAAAGACCCCTCTTTTGACATTTAGATCTTTATTTTTTGTTTATTATGTAAAATTTTAAATGTGCACAAAAAAGAAAATAGTGTAAAGAGCCCCATGTTCCCATCACCCAGCTTCAAAAATTTATTGCATATTCTTATTTGTGTACACTGCTAGAACCACATGCTAACCTGGATGAAGATTTTAAGTGAAATAACACAGGGCTCTTACTGGCTCTGTGTTGGTTCCACATTTTATTTGTGATATGGGTAAATAATGCTTATTAGCAACTTTCTGTTGATCCAAGTGATGAAATCGGGCCACTGATCCACAGGGTGGGGAGGGGATGAGAAGTATATCTGTAAGGTAAGAGATCCCCTAAAGCATCTTGGTATCGTCATGACCTGTGACTAAAGTCAGTGGACAAAGATAACCAATTCAGGCAGGTCTATCATGGCGGAGATACAGGCATTCTAAAGTACGTGTTAAGACAGAGTGGAGGGATAAAGACAAGGTTTAGATTTAGATCAAAGAGGTAAATTTTAGATGGAGAGACAGAGAACAGGTTTAGTGGTGCTATGTTAAAAAAAGATGTGGGTATTAAGTGTATAAGTACTCTGAAAGTGTGATGCAGTTGTTAAAAATGCACACATTAATAAATGTTGCATCCAGGTTGTGGACCTTTCTAGGTCAAGGGAGTTGGTAGTTTCATTGAATTTTTTTGAAAAATGGTACTGGGGTTTGAACTCAGGGCTTTGGGCTTGCTTTGGAAATGCTCCACCACTCTGCTACTTGAGTTCGCCCCTATCCCTTTTTGCTTTAGGTTATTTTTCAGATAGGGGCTTGTGATTTTTGCCCGGGCTGGCCTAGATCACAGTTCTGCTGTTTAGTTGGGATGACAGGTGTGGGCCACCTCTGTTTTCATTCCTGGGATTGGAGGTGTGGCTCAAGCAGTAGGACACCTGCCTAGCAAGTACAAAGCCCTGAGTTCAAATTCCAGTTCTGCCCCCACCCCCGCCCCCAAAATATGTTCTCATTCTTGCTTGCCATACTCTGGTCATACTGCCTTTTTTGTTACTACCTAAACACGTCAGATGCATTTTAAATGTTTTAGGATGTTTGCTTTGGTTATTCACTTACCTTACATTCTCTTCTCTCATGTTTGCGTCAGATACTCATTCATCTGATTCAAATCTTGGCTCAAAATTACCCATGCTGTGAACCTACTTTGATCACTGTATTTAAAACTGTACTCCTACCTCAGTCCCTATTCCTTATTTAATTTTTTTCCCATAGCGTGTATTAACTGGCATCTTTTAAGTATCTTAAGATTTAAATTTTTTATTTCTTTTTTCGTTTGCTTGGGTTTTTTGTTTTTTTTGACACAGGGTCTTGATATGTATCCCAGGCTGGCCTGGAACTCACTGTGTAGTCCAGGCTGGCCTGGAACTTGTGATTCTCCTACTTTATGCTTCCAATCACTGGGATTACAGATGTGCACCATTATGCCCTGCTTAATTTTTGATTTCTGTATTACACAACTCTGCTTTCTAGAATCAAGCTTCATGGAGGCAGGGATTTTCATCTGTTTGTTTTCAGTACTAGAAATAGTGCCTGCCCTTTACAAGCACTCAGGAAATATTTGTTGAATGAGTAAGTCATATATGTATATATGCTATATTTTGAAAATCAGAAAGGTGAAATGACTGCTGTACGGAAATACTTTATTCTAATCAGTATGAAAAAAATGGAAGTAAATTTTCTTTACTGTGTTGAGTAACCCCAATGTTTTCCTTTGTTAGAGATGTGCAATCTTACTATGTCTTTGTGAGCTCATGGATGATGAAAATGGAGTCTATTTTATCTAAAGAGCAGAGAATGGATAAATTTGCTGAAGACCTTACCAACAGATGCAGTGTTTTTATACAGGTACTTATTGCTTCTTACTTAGAATATTTTGGGGTGATTTTTTTTGTTGTTGTTGTTAATTTAATTTATAGCAGTTATGCATGAAAAAACCCGGGAAAGGATATGTTCTTAGGACATTGATTTGGTTATGTTTCGATCTGTGTGACTTACTAGGTTTTCTAACATACCCATTTGAAGCTTTTTTTGTTTTGTTTTGTTTTGTGGTGCTGGGGCTTGAACTCAGGGCCTATACTTTGAGCCACTCCACCAGCCCAGGTGGAGTTTTGTGTGTTGGGTTTTTTCGAGATAGGGTCTTGCAAACTATTTGCCCAGGCTGGCTTCCAACCATGATCCTCCTAATCTCTGCCTCCTGAATAGCTAGGATTACAGTGCCGGGCTCCTATTTGAAGCTTTGTATTATCTTTAAAGTATGACTTTTTAGTTGTATCCCATAAGTTTTGATGTATTATATTTTCATTATCATTTAGTTCAAAATATTTTAAAATTTTTATTGTGACTTCTTTGATCTTTGGAGAGTCTTAAAGACATTTCCTAATTTTCAAATATATAAGGATTTTCTAATTATCTTTTTCTTATGTGATTTATAACAGTAATAAAATATTTTTAGCATTTTGAAATTTATAAAGGCCTGGCCTGTGCTCAGCTTTGGTTTTAATATACTTTGAGACAAAGTACATGATATTTAGAATTGTGTCTTTCTTTCTAGTGAATTGAACCTTTTATCATTAAGAAATATCTCTGTGGGGGCAGTGATAGATAGACCCTGTGCTCAGCATGCACAGGCCTGGGGTTCAATCTTCAGCACTGTCTTCTTCAGCACCCCCTTCTTCAGCGCCCCCTTCTTCAATGTTCCCTGCCCTAAGCAATGCGTTTTGTCCCTTGTGTGTGATAGTAATATAGCTGTGCCATTTTCTTTTAGTTAATGTCAACATGGTATATTTTTTTGACCCCTTATAACTTGTAGCATTTCTGACTTTTTAATGTGTCTCTTATGTTTGTCATGACTGATATATTTAATTTAAAATTACCATCTGACTAGATTTCTATTTGTCTGAATTTTCTGTCTTCTTTTAACTCTCTTGCTCCCTATTCAGTTACTTTTATCATTTTATTTTCCCCTTTCTCTGTTAGTTTCTTAATTCTGTATTACCTTGTTATTCTTTTTTCTTGTTAATCTGGAGATTTTAAGATGCATAATTATTGGTTCAACTCTAATGTAATTTGGCAGTTTTACCTGTTTCCAGACAGTGTAAGGCTCTTAACCACTTCAGTTTTGTTTGTCTTCCTCTCACCTTTTTTGCTGCTCTTGTGAACTTTGATTTTCTCTATATTTTAAACTTTGCAAATATTATTACTGTTGTTTATAGTCAGTGTTTATTTAGATTGACTCTTGTATTTGTCCATTCTGTTGCATTTCATCTTTCCTGAATCTCTTTGTTTCATCCTTCTGCTTGTGGGAATATCTGCTAGTATTTCATCTAATGGAAGTTAACTATTGATGAATTATCACAGTTTTTGGTCTGAATAGGTCTTAAACAGTTTTGCTGCATTAGAATTCTAGGTTGGTTAGATTTTTTTCAGCTAGGTTTTAAAAGTATTTTACTTTTTCTTGGTTTCCTTCATTTTTGTTAAGAAATCAGCTGTTGGTTTGTTGCTTTTTAAATAATGACATATCTTTAATTATTTGTAAGATTTAGATTTTGGATTTTAGCAATGTTACTATGATGTCTGAAAGTGTGGTTTTGTGTTTTTGCAGCTTCTTAAATTTATGTAAAAGTCTCAGCCACTGAAGAGCACCATTTCTGTTCTTGTCTCTCTCTTCTAGTTCTGTCTTCATCTGTGTCTAATGTGCTGTTTAAGACAGATTAGGAACTCAGTCTAGCACAATTAGTCTAGGACAAGTAGCAACCCAGATCACTTCAACCCAGTTATGAGATGACTTTGAAGAAGCACTTCAATCCTGTGATAGTTTCTTTTTTCCAATTCATCCTTAATTTTTTGGGGGGAGGGAGGTAATCTTTTATCTTTTATAATCTCAACACAGAACCTAGGTAGTTTACTAGAACCCTGTGCTCTCTTTGATGGGCCATGGACTCCTGTTGCTGTCCTCATCCCTGTAAACCATTGTTGGAAAATATGTTTGGCTTCTGCCTTTAACAAAAGCCTCTAAGATAGATGCTCTAGAGAAAGCAACTCTAAATGCCAGGCTCAAAGCTCTGGGTTTCTGTCTTCTACCAGATCTTGGCCTCCTGTTTCCATATTTTCCTGATAGATCTTTGATGCTTTCTAAGGGATTTTAGAACTGGGATGCCCAGCTTTTCTAGATGTTCTCAGCAGAAGGGTAGTTCACATTGTTTATTCTGTCATTAATAGTAACAGACCGAGACATCTTTGCCCCTGTTTAGATTTTAAAGTAATGTGTCATGTATGTCCAGTTCACAGATTAATGATGAATGGTGTGGTATGGGCCTAGGAATTCTGTACTTCAGGCCCCTCATCAAAAAAAGGAGGCCCTCTTTCCTGCCTGCCTTAGTGGCTGACTTTTGCTCTTCCTTATATCAAGCTTTGTAGCTTTTCCCAGAACTGCACTGGGCAGGATGTGAGGTGATGGCCATTTAGCTGACAAGATAAGACTTGTGATTCTTTCTGCATGCATGTCCCATGCTTTGATCTTAATTGTCAATTTTCTGAGGATGCTGTCCTCTGTTTTGTTTCCTAATTCTCTTAATTTAGCACGTTTCCACCACAAAGCTATTACTGGTTCAGAGTCACTCCTACTTCTTACAGTGTTAAGTATTACTTCTTTAGTGAGGCATAGTGGTTGCTGAAAGAGTGCTTTCTCACATAGGGTAGGGCAGGAAAAAAAGGATGACAGCACTAGTGTTGAAGTTCTGCCCTGCCTCCCTGGATATTTCTACAGTGGTATATTTTAGGTTCATCTTTAAATGGTACAATTTTTTGGACCTTTACAAACCCAGATAATCTCTAGCATTATTTTTGTGTTTCTGAGTGTCCTTTTTGTGTTTAAATGAAGAACTATATGAGAGGTAATATCCTTATTTACTGCTTTCCTGAGTTTAGTAGCATTAAATATTTTTATAAAGAAAAAACCTCACAAGATGTATGTTTCCTTTATGAATAGAAGGGAAGGAGAGAAACTGTTCTCAGTGGGCTGGGAGGAGTGAAGGCCTGATTAGCAGAGACAAGATAGCAGATGGACTGTGGGGATTGGTCTAGGTAAAGAGGAAAGAGGAAATTGACTTTGTGTATCTGCATTGGTCGCAAAGCAGCAATTTCTCCTCATTCTTCTTTTCATTCCTAGCTTTTTAGAACCTCAGCTATTACCCTAAGTGGTAACAGATAGGAGTTTTTATTCTCTTCTTTGGCAGGTAGTATAAGAAACATTAGTTATTGGCAAGTTGAGGAATAACTTATTACACAGAGAATGAGGTCTTAAAGAAATGAATTTTATACTTGTGATTATTCTCAATGTTTCTTTTGTAGGGTTTCCTATATGCATACAGCATTGGTACCATTATTAAAACCACAATGAATCTCTACATGTCCATGCAAAAGCCAATGACCAAGAACTCAGTGAAGGCATTGTGCAGGCTCATTGAACTGCTCAAGGTAGGTCTTTGTTACTTTACCTGCCATCATGATTGAGAAATGCCTGGATTTGACTTTATGATTGCAAGAGAACAAAAACTTGTAAGAAATGTAAGTATTTCTCAACTGAAAGAAGTTTCTGAAAAAGCATCATGAATGGCCAGTACAGATGCTCCTTGACTTATGGTGAGGTTATGTACCAACAACCTCATAGTTCAGCCTAACCCAATTTAAATGTGCCCAGAATTCTAACATTAGCCTGAAGTTGGGCAGAATGATCTAACTCAATGCCTATTTTATAAAGAATTGACTATCATATAATTTTTCTAATACTGAAAGTGAAAAACAGTAAGATGGGACTGTCTGTTTAAACTTCATTAAAAGTTAATGAAGTGAGAAAGAAAAGGATAATGGAAAAAATGGCATCAATTAAAGTTTTATTTATGGAAGTTTGTAAAGCATATAAGTTTAAAAAAACAATAGTGCATATGAGGTTAGTTAACATGAAGCTGATTATAACTCAGAGAATGTCTTCTTGAACAGAAGATGACTTACAGAAGCGGGCAAATGAATCAAAATCATAGTGCACTTATGGGAATGTGGTAAAATGTTTCAAAGCATACATACTGTTAAGAAAAAGAAACCAACTCCTTGTGGGTCAGAGAGTCCCTGTCCCTGTTGATCTTTTTTTTTGGCAGTACTGGGTTTGAACTTAGGGCCTCACACTTGCTGGCAGGTGTTTTACCACTTGAGCCACTCTGTCCTTTTTTGTTTTGGGTATTTTCAAGAGAGGGTCTTACAAGCTATTTTGCCTGAGCTGGCCTGGAACCACGATCCTCCTGATCTCTATCTCCTGGGTAGCTAGGATTACAGGCATGAGCCACTGGCATGTGGCTCCAGTTGATCTTATGTAAAAATTTCAATTAAGATTTGCTGGTAAGTTTCTGTTAGTCAGGGACTTTAGATTTGTTTAGGAAAAGGAAGATTTTTGTTTTCTTTTGAGATTGTACCTTTGGATTTCCAGGCCTTTTTTTCTCTCTAAGGTATGTTACCTAGTATCAGTTACATTTTTTAGTGAACTATATACAGAGGTGTGCATATATATAGGTGTAGACATATATAAAAGCATAGTTTTCAAATAATAACACTTAAATGCTATCCCAGTATTTCAAAACCCCTTGTGTATCCCTCCTACATTGCATTCCATCTACCCCCACAGAGGAAATCAATATCCTGAATTTTATGCATATCATTCCTTTGTTTTTCTTACTAGTTTACCATATATAAATCAATCCATAAACCATTCATCGTTATGTAGTTTACAAGTTTATATTAGTGGAGTAATATTTTATGTATTCTTTGACTTCCTTTTTTTTTTTTAACTCAACATTTTATACTATAGTGTATCCATGTTGGGGTGGGTAGCTGTACTGTGGTCATTTTCATTGCTGGGTGGCTTACCTGTGGGATTGTTTCCAGTTTTTGCTATTATAAACAGTATTTCCATTCTTGTATATTTCTTAGAATACTTGTGTGGGAGTTTTTCTGTTAGTGTATACTTACTACTAATATATTATATACTTCCAAGAGGTCACTGGGTTACATGTTACATGTGTTCAGCTTTTCAAGATGATGCAAATTATTTTCCCAAGTAGTGAATCAGTTTACATGCTTCTCACAGTGTAGTATACTTCCCATTGTTCTCCTGCTGGCCAGCACCAGTATAGACTTGCTGAAAGTGCTTCAGACCAGAAGTGTTTCAAATTTCTCTTTTTTGATTTTGGAATATTTGCACATATGTAATGAGTTATCTTGGGAATGGGACCTATGTCTAAATGTGAAATTCATTTACATTTCACCTTATATATACATCTTAGAGGTCATTTTTTGTACAGTATTTTTTATGTGCCTGCATTTTACTGTAACTTTTTATGTGTGGAATTTTCCACTGTGGTATCATGTTGATACTTAAAGTTTTGGATTTTGGATCATTTCAGGTTTTTGATTTTTGATTTAGGCATGCTAAACCTGTGCTGTAGGCTTCAGGTGACTTGTTTGTTCGTTTTGTAAATTAGTGGGTATAATTGGTTTTGATTGTGAGTTTTTAATGCTCTACCAGTAATTGTTAATGATGGTTGAATATTTTTATTTATTGGCTGTGTTTCTTCTTTTGAGAAAAATCTGTTCATATCTTTCTTCAGTTTCCTACAGGATTGTATACTTTAAAAAAAAAAGGTCATTTGGAGTCTTTATATATTCTGAATACTAACTGCTTGTATTTGGCACATACCATACTTTGGTTTACCTTCATATTTTCTTTATATTGGCTTTTGATAAATAGAAGTTCTTAATTTTAATGTGAATTTTCTAATTTTATCCTTTCTGGTGTTTTTCGTTTTTTATTTACAAACTCCTTCCCATGCCTGCAGTCAGAGATGCCCTCCTATTTTGTTCAAAAGTTTCATGTTGATTTTCACAAAATTTGGTTCTTTTTAGGCAATAGAGCATATGTTCTACCGGAGAAGCATGGTTGTGGCTGATTCAGTTTCACATATAACACAGCACCTTCAACATCAGGCTCTTAATTCTATTTCTGTAGCTAAGGTATGCAAATTATGATGTATTTAGCAAAATTGTGTTTTTTATTCTTTTGTTTTATATGTGATTTCTGATTTAGTGTATGTATTCTATTTCTTCAAACATAACATACCTGGTCATTTATCTCCATAGTATTTTACAGTTTTCAGAGTTATCTTTACTCTGAAATTGCAGAGTTTAATACACCTCCCATTAAATGACATTGTATGCACTTTTGAAATGGATGTATAGTATTTGGAAGTGATTTCTTATTAAATTAATAGCATTCTTAAAGTATGCCTAATGTGCTTGCTGTTCTTGACAGTGCTAAGATACAATGTTATAAAAGTAAAGTACAAAACAGGGAAGGTAATTGTTCATGCTCTCTTAACTAGAATCATGGAAAAGATATTGAGAAGTTTTTCTCCTGAGACTTTTATTACCTCAGAAGCAAAACTAATGGTTTCCTCTTTTATCTTTAAGAAAAGAGTAATTTCAGACAAAAAATACAGTGAACAGCGTCTTGATGTGCTCTCTGCTCTAGTGTTGGCTGAAAACACTCTAAATGGACCAAGTACAAAGCAACGACGACTTATTGTTTCTTTGGCACTAAGTGTTGGCACACAAATGGTAAGAATGATGCTGTTACTTAGGGAATAAAGTTAATTTTGGAGATTTCACAGTTCTTTTGTTACTGACTCAAGAAACCTGTCTTTATTTTAACTACATATTCTGTCTTTTTCCCTCCTCTTGATAGAAAACATTTAAAGATGAAGAACTCTTTCCTCTTCAAGTAGTCATGAAAAAACTGGATCTTATCAGTGAACTTAGAGAACGGTAAGACTGGCATTTGTAATAATACTCAAAAGATAGGGCTAATACGAGAATCAGTTGTCTTTTTAGCCTAGTGAGAGAAGGAATAAAACCCGGATAGAACATTAGTTCCTCTCTGTAACATCTTCAGTGTGACTAAAGTGAGACAGACTGGGGATCAGACTTACTTAGCTTTGCTTCTATAGGAAGCTTGCAGCTTCCAGAAGAATTCACAGGAAAAACAATGTAACCTCAGAGAATTTGGGAGACTCTAGTGTATATCATGATTATTAGGTGTTGGGCTGGTGGAATGGCTCAAGTGGTAGAGGCCTGCCTAGCAAGCATGGGACACTGAGTTCAAACCCCAGTACTGCCACAAACCAAAAGGGATTATTAGTGTCATTGCTGGATTTTTAAATCTGCTGCTTTATAATAAGGCTTCAACTGTTTGTCATACTTAGAGATCCATGATTCATAGTGTTCTGTGATTTTATTTAAAGATAGGAATTAAATTGCGTTGTCAGTAGCCAATCACTAAATAGAATTAGTTTTTTGAAGCCTTATTTTTTCAGGTACTTGTGACTTTATTGTTTCCTTTTTATTGAGGAAGCAGGAGGTTTCTTGAAGGGAAAATGAGTCTTCTGAATTTTGATTTACAGCTGAATTATGGTTACAGTACATTTTCTGTTTAATGCGTATAATTTTCTTTGTTGTTCTGAGAAGCTGACATTTTGTAGTTAGTGCTGTTGAATTTTCCATTCTTGTAAGATATAGTGAACCTTCCTCGTCTAAGATACTTAATGATCATTTTGTTACCCTGTAAGGTATGAAATAGTTATTTGGTGTCAAAGATTATAGATTATATGTGACAGGTTTTTTGTTTTTCTTTTTTGTCAGTTTGCTGTCTGACTTGGAGACAGGTAAAATGAGAATGTGATGCGAGTAAAAGTTTAGTCAGATCAAATAATACTGAAAATAAATTTATTTAAAGGCTAAATGTGTTGTGTACTAGTTTTATCATTGCTGGGACTGAAACATCACTGACTGAGACAACTTAAATGAGGAAAGATTTATTTTGGCTCACAGTTTTGAAGGGCTCAGACCATGGTTGCTGGGCCCCTGTGTGTGGGCAAAACACCATGGTGAACATCATGATGGTAGGGGTGTGTGGTGGAGAAGTTTCTTCAATTGATAGTGGACAGGAAGCAGAGAGTAAGGAAGGAACTGAGAACTTGGTATCACTTTCAAAGATACACCTCCAGTGACTTACTAATTTGAACTAGGTTCTACTTCCTAAGTTTCCAGAATTTCCCAAAGTAGTGCTACTAGCTGGGGACCAGGCCTTCAACACATAAGCCTATGGGGTGCATTTAATAGTCAAGCCATAACATTCTGCCACAGACCCCCAAACGTCCAAGGTTGTGTCATGATGCAAAATGCATTCAGTCTGTTTCCAAGATACCAAAGTCTTTACATTTCTGACTACTCAAGGTAGTCTCTTAGTACTCTTACAATGGAACAGAATAAGCATTCTCATTCCAAGAGGGAGGAATAGGGTCATGGAAAGGAGGAATGGGACCAAAGCAAGACTGAAACCCAGCACGACAAACATTAAATCCCATAGCTCCATGTCTGGCCTCTGGAGCATGTGGTGTCATGATGTGCGTTCCAATAGGCTTGAGTAAGCCTACCCCAGTAGTCTTGCTATTTACAGCCCACAGGGCCTCTCTTCTAGGCTGGCTTCACTTATTCCTTGTGGCCTTTCCTTAGTAGACCTAACACATTCCTGGCATCTCCAACACCCTGGGGTATCGATTGCAGGTTAGGCTTCACCCTCGCAGCTTCATGTATTCCCCTCTTCAGGGGCCTCCTCCAGAGATACTGACCTTGTCACATATTGTCTGACATCTCAGTCTTTACTTTGTTATCTGGGTAGAAGCCTCCATGTCCCCGTAACACTTGCATTCTGTGTGCCTGCAAAACCCATCATGTGGACATCACTAAGGTCTTCTTCCAGCTTCAGCAGTATCCAGGTGCCCTTGGACCTTGATCACAGTGATCTCTATGTTCCTTGGTGGCTGAGATTCCTAGAAAAACATCTTGGCAGTCCTGTGAGAGAAGGGCACACAGCAGGCATTCTCTTCTCTAGGGGAAGACTTTCAAATGAATTTGCTCTTTCATACCCTTGAGCTTGCAGTGGGTGGAATTTGGTCAATTCCTGAAATGCCCTCAAGCCATCTTTTCTATTTTCTGAATGCAAAGTGCTTGGCTTTTTAATAATAGTTCTCATCTCTTCAGAAACCATGCCTTCCTTATCCCCAGATTTACACTGGCTTTTGTGACAAATGTGCAGGATTTTCAAGTCTCTGCTCTACTTTTTGCTCCCAATTTTCACTACAAACACACAGCTAAAAGCAGATAGCAATAATCATGCCACAGTCTGAATGCTATGCTGTGTTGAAATTTCCTCTGCCAAATTTATTAGTCCATTACTTTGTTTTTCGTTTGCTTATTTTACCTCACTCACTATATCAGCACATGGACAAAATGTGGACAAATTCTTTGCTAGAATGTAACATATTTGAGTAGCCTGTAGTACAGTTCCCAGTAGAGTCCTCATTTGTACCTGAAACATTATGGGCTTTCATTGTCCCCATTCATATTGACGTTCTGTCCTGTGCATCCTCTAGAATCACTCATTAAGCTCTGCTTACTTCATTTTGGAACTTCTCTAGTCTGCATCTCCATCCTCTTCCAAAACTTTCCCATGAATCAGTTTGCAAAGACTTTAATCACGTAGTCAGGCCAATGAACTCATTTCTCTGATGTCAGTTTTTCTTTGTTAGTTACTTTTGCTTCACTTGGGCAAAATACTTGACAAACAACTTACGGGAGGAAAGATTCATAGTTTCAGAGAGTTCAGACAGTGGTTGCTTGGCTCCATGAGCAAAGACGGGTAACAAAAAAGGCAGGAATATCAAGCTTTTAGTTAATTTATGGGCCCAAGTAAGTAAGGAGTCAATGGTTTTCAGCAAAAGCAGTTAAAGTTCCTGTCACACATGTAGGCCCCACCTCTTAAAGTTTCCAGAACTTCCCAAAATAGTGCCACCAGCTAGGGACACATGAGCCTATGGGAACAATTCATATTCACACCTAAACATGTTTTTCAGGAATCTTTAGAATGAAAGCATATGCAGAATTCTGACAGTGTGAAGAATTGGAGTATTTTGTAACTTTTGCTCAATTTGAAAAGTATTTGTTTTGTGACTTTTCTGTACTAATGTTGGGTAAAGTGATACAGGGAATCCAAAATGAGTAAGACAGACCTCTTACCCTTATAACACATGAAGGCATTCTTTGGTATTGTTTTGCGATACTTTTGTTTTGATGCCACTAATTATTTACTACCTTTTATTGTAGAATCCAAACACAGTGTGACTGCTGTTTTTTATACTGGCATCGAGCTGTCTTCCCAATTTATTTAGATGATGTATATGAAAATGCTGTTGATGCAGCCAGATTACATGTAAGTAAAGAATAAACACCATTTTTAGTCACCTTTTTAGTTTTAAAATACGTCATTTAAGAAAACATTAAAAAGTTGACAGCTAATGTTGTTTTGAACATTATGCACATCCAATAAGTGTTTATACAGTCTGTAGTTAAATTTATATTAATATTTAATTTTAATATATTTAACCTCTCCCCACACATTACTGTCCATTCTCATTTCATTTTAGTTTTTGTCAGAATAGTCTGACATTTATTTGTCAGCTATTCAAATTTCTTTCTTTCTTTTTTTTTTGCTATATTGAGGATTGAACTCAGGGCTTTGCACTTGATAAGCAAGTGTGCTACTTGAGCCATGCCATACCCCTCAAATCTGTTTCTTGATGGAAATAAGCGTATTTGAAAGCATAAGATACAAAGGATAAATGAATGTGCTTAGTTAAATTACATGGTTTAAATTCTTTTCAGGAAAATAAGACAGTTGTGGAAAAGTCAAGGCTGATTGATCTATCTGCATAGATTCGTAATGTTGTTTATATTATGTTTCTGGGTTTTGTAAACTTTTCTGCATTTTAATTTTCTTTGTAGTACATGTTCAGTGCTTTACGGGACTGTGTACCTGCTATGATGCATGCAAGACATTTAGAGTCGTATGAGCTACTTCTGGATTGCTATGATAAGGAAATTATGGAAATTTTAAATGAGGTAAGGTACTATTTGAGATTGACAAGTCTAAAACAATGTTTTGGAAGGCAGTGTTTGGAAAAAAAGTCTTGGATTTAATCAGACTTCCATTGAGTCAAAAGTTATTTCTGAATCACTATGTAGAGCCAAGGAGCTATTTTTAATTACAGTATTGCTATTATACTAAATTAATATATAATTACTGATTTTTTTTTAAGAAAAAATTTTTTTGGAAATTCTTAGTTTAATAAATAGTATATTTTGGGTTTAAATTTCTGTTTATTAATAGGATGCATGTACAAAATGGGTTTAAATGTTGGGTCGTGCTGCTGATTGTACAGTTAAGGAAGCAAAACTATTTTGATATTTTATTGAATTTCCTATGGGTGCTCCTAAGAGAAAAGGCTATATATTTAAAAGGCTTGTGTAACAAATAATTTGAAAGCAGTGTAATGTTCCCCTCCCTGTGTTTATAATGAACACTGATCTCTTCAAAATGAAATTTCCATCTAGTGATATTTTTGTTAGGAGAAAGGAATTAAAAATAAGCAAACTTCATAATATAAACCTGTTTAGGTTTGAAGAAATTATGAAAAACTTTACATAATTTCTTATATTAAGTGCTTTCTTATATTAAGTATTCTTTCTTTTTGACAGTGGTGGGTTAGTGAACTCAGAGCCTTGCACATGTTAGGAAAGCACTCTACCATTGAGCTGTGTCCCTAACCTATAAGTATTCTTACATTTTTATTATCATATTATTGTTGTACTGTGGGTACATTGTGACATTTAAAGTTCTTACAATATATCTTGGTTAAATTCAAACCCTCCATCATTCTCCTTTATCCCCCCAAGTCTATTCTTTAAAATAGTTTCCACGGGTCTCATTTTTCCATTTTTATACATGAGTACATAATACGTCCACCATATTCACCCTCCTTCACCCTTTCCTTACATCCCCCCTCCACCCCCACTGGCATCAACCCCTAGACAGGACCTGTGTTTTTTACCTTTCTGTCCTCCTTTTTTGAAAAAAGACATTTTTGTTGGTTTAATATATGTATACAGAGTTTCACTATTACATTTATGTGTATACGTGTATTGTATCCCAAATTGGTTCATTCCTGCCATTTTTTTCCTTTCTACCTCCTTAATCCTCTTCTTAAAATTTAAAAGTCTATATTCATTCTCGTTAACTATTCTTATTTAGAAAATAAAGTACATGTCTGATACAGAGCTGTGGCAGACCAGAAAAGATGAGTACTTCCATTACAGTGAATTTTGTGACTTTCAATTATGATTACAAGGAAACTTTTCTTTATTGTACATGTGCAGGACCTTTCCTCTTCTGTTGCTAATTCCCATAAATTTTATGCTTTGTGTTGCATATTCATAGTCCTTGTAGTGAGGACATTGGCCATTAGCTTTCAGTTTTCTTTTTAAGGGAATTTAAAGTATTAATGAAAATAAAATCTTGGTATTTATGTAACTGCTCCCTGCCCTCAGAAGGCATTGTTTTAAAATGGAGAGCAGAGCAGTTTCACTTTCCCAATTAAAGTAAAGATTTTACCTTTGAGTTTTCAGTCTTAAACCAAGGGACCAGTTTGTAGTTTTTTCATTAATGCACTGATTATAATTTTATTTTTGGCTCTACTGGGGCCTTGTGGAACTCAGGACTATGCACATGCTAAGAGGGTTGTTCTACCTCTTGAGCTATGCCCCCAGCACTTTCTTTGTTGTTCTTGTTGTTGGTTTTACTGTGTTTTTGTGATGGGCAATAACTTTGCCAGGCTGAGCTTAAATTTGGGATCTTCCTCCCGCCTCTTCCTCAGTAGCTGGGATTACAGATGTGCTCCACTGTGCCTGGCTTGATTGTAAAACTCTTTTAAGGTCATAGCATAAACATATAGGGAGATAATACAATTGGAATATCATTTTGAAAAACTCAGTTCTTTTGTGAATAGCGTTTGCTGGACAAGTTGTGCAAAGAAATAGAGAAGGATCTGCGACTTTCTGTGCATACTCATTTAAAGCTGGATGACCGAAACCCTTTCAAAGTTGGCATGAAAGACCTGGCCCTCTTTTTCTCTCTGAATCCAATTCGGTTTTTCAATCGCTTCATTGACATTCGAGGTGAGTGTTCTGCTTTTTTTTTTGGGGGGTTGCTAGGTAGGGGTACGGGGTGGCATTTACAAAGGTTCTAACAATATGCTTTCCTTCTTAGAGTTGTACATATCCTATAAATCTCTAACTATTAATAAAACAAAATCTTGCTACCATTTGTGTGTGTGTTCATTTTATTTAATTCCTTTTTATTTCTTTACTCATTTTTATTTCCTATTTTCTTGCACCTTTTCTTTTTTTTTTTTTTTTTTAAATATACTCTTGCCACAGCCTTCCACGTGCTGGAACTAGCACCTTATTTTAAAGGAAGAAGTTTTATGTTCAAAGTCAGATGGTGGGTTTTCCTTTTTATTTTCATTTCTTTCTACCATTTCCAGAATCTAAAAGTTTTCGGGTTTTTTTGTAGCTTATGTTACTCACTACTTAGATAAGACTTTCTACAACCTCACAACAGTAGCTCTTCATGACTGGGCCACTTACAGTGAAATGAGAAACTTGGCTACTCAGCGTTATGGACTGGTTATGACAGAGGCACATCTTCCTAGTCAAACTTTGGAACAGGTATGTATAAAATGTTTCTGATACAGTCTGACTATAGTATAGTATTGTTTCTTTAGGAAACATTTTTTCTTTTTACTTTATTTAGCTTTTTTTTAAAATAGAAAATAATTTGCTATACAAAACCTCATACTTGAGCCGGCAGAGTGGCTTATGTGGTAGAGTACCTGCCTAGCAGGTGTAAGGCCCTAAGTTCAAGCCCTAGTACCACCAAAGGGGGGAAAAACTCATATTTGGGAAGAGCAAAATATTAAATGCCACTTACAGTCTTCATGAAAGAATTTGCCACGTAGGATTCCTGGATGCAGTTTGTTAAGCATTTGAAATATGTATATATACATACAAAACTTGTAGAAACATACTAGAGTAGTAAGGTGACCTCTGTAGAATTATAAGGAATTCAGCCAAGGTCACACTTAAGGATTTTAAACTTGGGCATAGTATATAAACTTTAATATCTTAGGAAAAATACTCAATATTAAGTAAAACAGTTAACTTTATATTATTTCAAATTATTCTTAAAACAAGGAGTGCAAAGAAGCATTTGATTTTGCTAAATAGCTTATTTTCAGAATGGTAATATTTCATGAATGCAATGGTTTATGTAATCAGGTAATTGCATGGAATTCGTTCTGTGATAATCTAGATAATACTTATCAAAAAACATTCATTTCTAAAATTTAAGAATTTTTTCTTTATTGCATATAAGCTTCATTTCTAGTATCCTTTCATTCATTTATTTATACATCTAATATTTATATGTATTAGTGCTGGACACTTAACTATATTTAGGGATTCAAAAAGAAAATAGAAACAGTTTCAGCTCATATGCTTACAGTTTAGTGGGAGAAAAACTGTGTAAAAGCAATTAGAACACGATAAAAGATACAGTAGAAGCTTAACGTATTTTGATGCCACTTTGGGTGCTAGTTAGATAAGCTGTGGTGTATGCACATAATACACCATTAGGTGTTAGAGTAGGATCTGAAAGATGAAGGAATCCTGATGGAGAACTTGTGTATTAAAAGTGGGCTGCTCTTGTATCAAAAGAAGCATAAAGATGTGGGATTAGCCAGGCATCCGTGGAGAGTGCCTGTAGTCCTAGCTATTTAGGAGGCAGAGATCAGAAGGATTGTGGTTCGAAGTTAGCCCTGGCAAGTAGTTCATGAGACCCTATCTTGAAAAATAACCTAACTAAAAAAGGGCTGATGGAGTGGTTCAGGTGGTAGAGCACTTGCTTAACAAGCGTGAGCTGAAGTTCAGATTCAGAATCTCAGTACTGAAAAAAAAATTGTGGAATTAGACTTTCTGAAAATCCCAGGGTTCTGTCTTTTCCTAGTGGTGTGACCCCAGAGAACTCCTTAGCTTCAATTTCTAATTTCTCTAGAATTTAGAATAATGCCTCATTTCTTTTTGAGAATTACATTGAAGAAATCTTGTATAGTATCTGAAAAGTAGTATGTGTTTTGTAAATATTGCAGCATATCCTTTGACTACCTTTAAAATCTGTCCATTAGCTTACTTTGTACAAAAATGTAGAGAAGATTCTTGGGAGGACAAAGCAGATAGTCCCAAGGTTGGTGGGTTGTAGATCTTTGATTATTTAAGTGTAATTGTTCTGTTCATGTAGAGGGATAAATAATAAGCAGTCAGACTTCCTCAAGGAGATAGTACTGCTTGTACAAGTATATAGCTCTTTATAATAACTGCAAGATATTAGGGAACTTACATAACCAATAAGCTACTAACTATATTGATGCAAGCTTATCTGATCATCTTAAACTATAAAACTGTGTGGATTGTGTTGTAGGGCCTTGATGTTTTGGAAATTATGAGAAACATTCACATATTTGTGTCTCGATACCTCTATAATCTCAATAATCAGGTGAGTGGGTTTTAGAAATTTTTTTTAAATATGTGGGTGACTATATAGTGGGAAGACCAAGGGGCAAGGAATTGATTCTCAAGAGTAAAAATTAGTAAAATATACAAAGCAAAAGTAATTGTTTAGAGATCTTGATTATTCCCTTGCTGCTGTTTGGTTATACTGCCTTCTTGAATGGCTTTTCAGTTAAATTATCTTTAATGAAACAGATTCTAAAATTTTCTTTGGATAACTCTCTGATCAGTGTTTGCTATGGGTTGTGTTCTTACTGAGCATAAATTTGTTTCATTACAGATTTTTATTGAACGAACAAGCAATAATAAGCATTTGAATACTATTAATATTCGGCATATTGCTAATTCAATTCGAACACATGGCACGGGAATCATGAATACAACAGTAAGCATCTTTTGGGAGGTTGGATGGGTAATAGATTCTGGTCTAATGTAGTAGTTTGGAAGATAATTTTCTTATAGAATAGTGTGCTACATGTTTATATTATACCTGAATTTCCATTTTTTTCATGGTAGTATACTTAAAAATACCTAGCGGTAAACTTAGGTCGATGTCATGAGCTGTGATACAGAAGGCACTGTAAGATACTTTACCATCTCACGATCATCATTACAAATAGCATTGGAGATTTGGGGGTATCAACCTGTGTGTGTGTGTGTGTGTGTGTGTGTTTCTCTAATACCGTCTGAAAATTACTTTTGGAAACGAATCATTAATAGCTGTTTATTTAATGTCTTTTATAACCTTTTTGGGGAGGGAATACTAGTTATTTGATACTCATATAAATAGGAATTTGCTGAAAATATTTGAATCTTAGAAATGGGCATTCAGTCACTTGAGGAAATCACAAGAGCTTATATGCTGTCTCCCCTCAAAGTGCAGTTAGTTTCTCCATGCAGAACAGTGAGAATGCTTAAATAGTAAAATACTACACAGATTTGGAGTGAGGGAAGATGGACAAGACTAGAAAGTTAAGATGGAATCATTCTAAAAGTATGCAGTGGGGGAGGCTTTGCAGTATTTGAGTTGATGAGTGGTAGAATTAGAGCTCTCTTGTAGAGGTTACCAATGTGGAAATGAGATCTAGGTAAGTCTCAGTTTTAAATTTAGAATAAGGAATCATCCATGTGGAGATCACATCTGAACCTTTGAGAATAAACAAACTTTGGACAAACTGTTCTTGACTTCCATCATCTATTAAGCATTCAAGTAATAAATGTTAGTGAATTTTATATGTCACAGGCACTGTGCTAGGTGCTAGGGTGAGGAAAACATGCTCATGGTAATAGAGGGATGTTCACACTAGTGAATGTAAGAGTGTGTCTATTGATAAGGTGAGCACAAAAAGATGAGAATTAGAGAGTGGAAGACTTACTATTAAGAATGGGAAGGATAGAGAGAAGGTTGGAGAGGAGACAGAGAAAAAGGAATGGAAAAAAGAGCAAGGAGAGTGCAGTGTTTAAACCATGAGGTAAGGTCTGCAAAAGCACCATTTCTATAACTGAGTGAATGAAGACAGTAAAACGTACATACGTTTACCAAAATTAGTAATGAGTACTACCAGAGAGTAGTGGGGATAGAAATGAGTGTAGTGCTTCACTTGTGTGTTAGAATTTTCATGTTATTTTACTTTAGTCTCAGCTCAGATCTCACTTTCCAGTGATTTTAGGAATCTGGGTCAGGTCTTTTATTATTCATTCTCACAGCACGCCCACTTCTTCATTACTGCCAATGAGATTTTCTTTTCCTTAAGGCAGTACTGGGGATTGCAACCAGGGTCTTGCTAGGCAAGTGCTAAATCACTTGAGCCATACCCCCAGTCCTTTTGGATTTTTAATTTTTATCGTTTGTTTGTTTGTTTACTTTTGAGACAGGGTCTTGCTGATTTTGCCCAAACTGGCCTGGAAGTGGCCATCTTTCTGCCTCTGCCTCACAAGTAGCTGGGATTTGGGATTTCATGTGTGCACCACCATGCCAGCAGATTCAATTATTTAGTAATACTTATTTAAAATGTCTTGTCACCCATGCTAGAATATAAACTTCATGAAGACAAAAACCATCTCTAGCATGGTAACAGGCATGTTGACTTGTGTGTAAAAGGTGTTCAAAAATAGTTATAGATAAGTAATTTGTTGTTTGTTATCTTCCTTCAGGAAAATTCAAAGAATACCATGTTTCTTACTTCACTAGCATTTTGGCTATGCAGATTAGGAATAGTATTTTACTTCACTAGCATTTTGGCTATGCAGATTAGGAATAGTAATCTTTTTTTTTTTGGCCTAACTAGGGTTTGAATTTAGGACCTTGTGTTTGCTAGTCTAGTGCTCTACCACTTTAGCCAGGGTGCAGCCCTTTTTTAATATTTTGTTTTTCACATAGGGTCTAATGCTTTTTGTGGGGGCCAGCCTCTTTCCGTGATCCTCCTACCTATCCTCCTGCGTAGCTTTGATTACAGGAATGCACCCCCATGTCTGGCTTGTTTGTTGAGATGGAGGTCTTGCTAACTTTTTGCTGGGGCTGATTTCCAGCCATGATCCTCTAAATCTCCACCTCCCAAGTACCTGGAATTACAGTGATCATCCACTGCTCCTGACCCTAGTAATAAGTATAGTAAGCCCACCTTATTTGCAGATTTATTACATGGGTTTGAGAAAGTGTGATTGAAGAAATAGTAAATAAAAAAATCAAAAGAAATTTTGAAAAAATGTTAAATTCCCATTCATACATTATGCAGTTAATTTGATGTAGAAGAGCTCTGTCAGTCCCATATAATCATCAGTTGTGTTTAAATCATTTTGTGATTTGCTGAGTATTTTCTTGCCTTTAATTTTGTGAAAATATCTCTACCAAAAGGAAAATGGTGCACCCAAGGCAAGGTAAAAGTTAATGTGCTTAATTTAAGTGATAAAATGAAAGTTTTAGATTTTGCTGAAAGGTGGCAAGTCTTTAGAGAAAGTGGGGCAGTGATACAGGAAAAAATGAGCCAAGCATCCACAGTACAGCACTGACATAGAGAAAGTGGGGCAGTGATACAGGAAAAAATGAGCCAAGCATCCACAGTACAGCACTGACATCTGTGCTTCCTGAGCATGCGTGGTTTTTTCTCAACGGTGGTCTCCTTGGAACCAGGTAGCCACAGATAGCAAGGGTCTGCTGTGGTTTTACTGTTGGAGGAACACAGAAACTTCTGACTGTGGCTTAAATGGCTCAAAACTAGGTCTTAGTCTCGTTTTGTGTTCCCACTACAGCTTTCATTCTATCATGAGAATACTCTCCAGTTTTTTTTCTTTTGTTCCCTTTCTTAGTAAAAATACTCAAGGAGCCTATAGAAAGTTCTGTAAACTTAAGCAATAAAAACTTCGGTTTAAATATTTCAGATCCAGTATGAATTGAACTTTGGAAATAGTACTTTTTGGGTCACTATTATTCCGTAACATTGATTTGAAATTAATTTTTATATTAACTTTTTTCAATTTTTGAATTTTAATTTTATAGGTTAATTTCACCTACCAGTTTTTGAAAAAGAAATTCTATATATTTAGCCAATTTATGTATGATGAACATATCAAATCCAGATTGATTAAAGATATTCGGTTTTTCAGGGAAATCAAGGACCAAAATGACCATAAGGTATGCTACATATTCTTTTAAGCTACTTTCAAATCATTTATTAAATACATGGCAAATATATATGCTAACATTCAGTGTTAGGTTTCTTAGTTATTTTTCACATGTCACTTAGATCTGGCCTCCAAGCTCCTTATGCTTTCCCTTATAATTTCCTACTTTGCATTCTCTTTAGGCTTACTAAGTATAAACAAGGTTTACTGTATTTTAAAATAATACAAAACATTTCATTTTGAAAACATACAAACCACGTAAACTGCATAACCATCCTTCTTCATTTTCTTTTCTTCCAGTTTCATTTTTTTTGAGGCAGTTGGTATTGACAGTGTAGCTTCACAATAAACATGTATTTATCTTGCTTTTTGATGGGGAAAGTGGAGTAAAATTCTCTATACTGTGTGCAGTGTGCTCATCACATTTGAGTGCATATAGATCGCCTCATTCGCTTTGAGAGTTGATAACATAGGTACATGCCATAACCTATTTACCCTCTTCTGTTGATAGATATTTTAGTTTTTACTCATTTGTCACTGTTACAGACAGTGCTGTAGGTACCATCCTGACACATATATCTCTGTGTATTTAGAAACTGATAGGAAAGAAAAACTAGTGAAGGAATTTTCTAGGATAAAGAATGAATATTTATAATTTATGGCACAAAAAGCCCGGCACTCCAGAAATACTGCACAATTGACATTTCCAGCAATAATTTATAGGACTGCTTTTTGTTTCTTTTTGCCATCCATGCTGTTTTTCCCAGAGCGAAATGAAGAGCCTGTTTAATTACAAGAGGTTCCTTGTGTAGAGGCATGTAGTGTAGCTGTGTGGCTAGAGAACCAACAGACTTAGGTGGGTCCTATATTTGATTTGCCAAATACAGAACTATTTTTAATTGCCCTCCTAAGATTCAGGTAGTCCTAGCTGTCTTGTTGATATTTCTTTTCATTGTTAGAGCAGCAAATAGTACTTTATAGTAAAGCAATCTAGTAAAATTACAGGTTACAATTTTTAGTAGAAAAATGTATTAGCCATCTTGTTTTTATTGGAAGGGAAATTAGTAATATCCAGAGATAAATAGGCTATTCTGTGAGAATTGCTTCCTTTTGTTATTGTTACAAAATGAATGATTTCCTAAAGTCTTATCTAAGTCTTAGTCTATTTTTAAAATTGATGATGGCAACAAGAAATTTTAACCCAGCTGATGTGTGTTCACTGGGACGAGATGTGCTTATAAGACCCTGACCAAGTCCACAGAAACTTAGCCAAATGTAAGTGAACAAATGTTTCTAGGAGGAATTAGTTCCCTTACAGTCTCATAGGATAGTTAGATGTTAGGGCACTAATAGTGGTGGCAGGGAATTTAAGTTTAGTGGCATTGATTATTACCTGTAGCTAATATCGAAAAGAAAAAAGAATACTGACCTTGCCTGTCGGTAGTTTTTGTTGCACAGATTTCTTTTTGTCATTAGACTTGAGGGATATTTTTTGGCAGTACGAAGTTTGGACTGAGGGTCTCACACTTGTTAGGCAGCTGCTTTACCACTGGAGCAACGTCCCCAGTCCCTCTTGTTTTTTTTTTCAAATAGGATGTTGTGTTTATACTATACTTCCTTGCCTGGACCACAGTCCTGCTATTTATGTTTTCAAGTAGCTGGGATGATAGGTGTATGCTATCATACCTTTTTTTTTTATTTACTTGGTTGAGATGAGGGCTTACTAACTTTTTTTCCTGGGCTGTTCTTGAACTGTGATTCTCCTGGTCTCTGTCTCCTGAGTAGCTAGGATTACAGGTGATGAGCCACTGGTGCACAGCTTTTTTTTTTTTTTAAGAATAATGGAATACAAAATTAAAGTGGTATTGACATGGTTAATTTGGTAGGCATTTTATGCTTCAGAGGTCTAAAGATAGTTTTAAAACTCTTTCTCTAGTATCCTTTTGATAGAGCAGAAAAATTCAATCGAGGCATCAGAAAACTTGGAATCACACCAGAAGGACAGAGCTACCTTGATCAGTTCAGGCAACTCATCAGCCAAATTGGTAAGTTATTATAAAAGTGGGGAAGTGAAGTACAAATTTCAGAGCTGCATGTACTAAATAGTCATGCTAGTAAACAGCTTTCCACGTGATTGCCTCATTAACTTTATTCTGTGAGGGCATTTGTTAACCAAGACTGTGGCTGCAGAAATAACTCATAGGCTGTAGACCAATATAAGATAAAGGAAATTTGTTCAGTCAGATTAGAAACATATTTAATAAGTAACTCATCTCAAGGTTCATATTCACAATTCATAGTCAGCCATGCTTACTGGGTACCTACTCTGTTGTAGGGATTATTTTGGACTTTTAAAATAGGTTCTTTCATGGTGTAGCCTAAATGTGATGGTATAAAATATTTACTTGAAAAGTTAGTAATTTAAATTGATAAATTTTGACTTAGCCAAAGATAAAATACTAAGTGAGGTGATTTTTTTTTGGTGCTATACCATTTTATACTTGTACATGTAGATTGTCCTTTTGTTTTACAAGTAGAACTTGTCTTTCAAAATATAGTATGTTTAAAAGCACAAACTACACTTTAAAATAATCATAGATGAATTAACAAGATCTTATACTTATTTGCTCTGTTAATGTCCTCAGAATAACTCTGAGATCGGCATGTAAACATAACTCTAAATGTGCAGAAAGAGAAATTCAGAGAAATCAAAAATGTTGTTATTGCACCAAGGTTATTTAGCTGTAGCTGAAAGTCCAGTAGATATTCTTCACAGTTTATATTAATTGATATAAACTTAAACAATTTATAATATAAACTGTTACTAATTGTTAAACAGTAAAATCTTATTGGCTATATTTTGAGAAAATTATACCTCCTGAGATGCATTCATTTATTTATCAAACATGTACTAAGCTCAGTTATGGCAGATACTCTGCTAGGGCTGGGGATGCAGAAGTCTTAGTTCTTAGGAGGCTTTGAATTGACTGATGGGAAAGATGTTAGAAGCATTCAGTTCTGGAGCGGGGACACTGAATGTCAGCTTACATTTCATAGATTATTTGGTTTGCATATTAGGTGTTTCTGTTTTTTAATTTTCGTACAAGAGCTTAGAGAATCTTACCTTTGTAAATTTATCTTAATGTAAGATTGCCAAATGAGTACTGTTTTCTTCAAAGAAACATTTGATAATTAGATAGCAAACTTCTGGAGCAGTAGTTCTTAAATTTTTTTGAGGATCTGATGAAAATTCTGGGTTTATTGTCCCCAGAACTAGTGCTCATATGCTCATGCACATACTATTGAGTACATAATGTACAGGAGTCTAGGTACTTAAAGTTAGGGTCTGGGGAATCTCAGATTAAGAGCTTTCATTTAGAACAGTATTGCTTTAACTTTTTCATACACCATTAGGAGTTTTTGCCTCTTGTGAATACTGCCTGTGTTGTTATTTACTGCATTTTAAAATGTTTTTAAAAGTATTATTTATCCTAAGAAATAACACTTGTTAAGTCTTGGGCTTTAAGATGCTAGATAGTTTTCCCCCCAGTGCACGTCAGTATACATGCCTGTTGAAATTTATGTACATGGTAATGTCACCTGGGTTATTGCCAGAATTTTTTTCACTTTATTGCAGCATTTTTCTTTTTATTTTCTTCTTTAAAAATACAAGTTCTTTGGAAAGCAGAGATTGGAAGGATCACAGTTTGAGACCAGCCTGACCAAAAAGTTAACAAGACTGCATCTTGACAAACAAAGCTAGACATAATGATACACTTGTAATCCCAGCTATACTAGAGGCAGAGAGGAAGGAGAATCACACTCCAAGGTCATTAATGCCAGCTGGCACAATATGTGAGACTGTATCTGAAAAATAACCTAAAAGTAAAAAGAGTTGGAGAAGTGGCTCAAGTGGTGGAGTGCTTAAGGCCCTGAGTTCAATCCCCATTGTTGTCAAAACAAAACAAATTCTTTTTTTTTCTGCTTATAAAACACTGTAATATGCCTTTGAGTTTCTTGACTATCTTCAGAAAAGGAGTAAAGAGCTGAGAGCAAAATGAGAAGTTATTTTGACAGTAATCTGTGTGTGGAAATAACTATTAACTTTATTGAATGTTTACTTAGTTCCTTAGCTTTATCTTTTTTTGGGTGGGTTTGGCATGTGTCTTTTTTACTGGAGATTGAACTCCGGGCCTTATACTTATTAGGCAAACACTCTGCCACTTAAACCACACTCCCAGTTCTTTGGCTTTTGTTGTTTTTCAGATAGCATCTTGTGCTTTTTGCCTGGAGTGTGATCCTTCTTTCTCCATCTCTGGAATACTTGGGATTATAGATGTGTATCATCATACCTGGCCTTGTGTGTTTTAATTTACCACAACACTCTACAGAATTATTCTCATTCACTCATCTCATAGTATTTAGGACAGCACATTTTTCTAGGTGCACAGTAAACAGTGTCTCTGCCCTTCTAGAACTTAATGTAACAGATAAGGAGACTGATACATAAAGAGATTACATAACCTAGGTCTCACAGCTAACAAGTGGCAGAGTCTGGATTTGAACCTGGGTTGTCTGGCTTCAGTGCTTTTGCTGTTAATCACTGTTCTCTGTAGCCTTTCACATTTTAATCAGCCAGTATTGATCTGATAGTTCAGAGGCAGATATTCAAACTAAATACTTAATTTTTCTAAGATGCATGTTAAAAAATAATTGGAATAAGCCTTAAAATAGATTCAGTGATAACCTGATTTGTAGCATTAACATCAAAACATATTGTACGGTAATCGTTTTGAAATGTTTTTAACTTCTTACCTTTTTATCTGTTCTTTCTCCCAGGTAATTGCAATGCAGTTCAATTGTGTATTGCATTCCTGTGCACCAGGACATGTTGGTTCTAGGGATGGTGCAGTGAAGAAGTCAGATGTTATACTCATGAATCTTACATTCTAGTTGAGGGACACACACACAAACAAAAAGATACATGTCAGTGATAAGTACTGGATAAGATGTAACGGGTCATGCTGTGCTATGCACCTTTCAGGAGGCAACATTTGAGCAGGGACCTAAATAACGGGAAATATGCCTTGTACATAGCTAGGCAAAGAATATACTAGTCAGAGGCAAAAGGAAGTGCAAAAGCCCTGGGTCTGTTCAGCATTTTTGAGGACTGTTCAGAGGCTGGAATAGTTAATGGAGACCTTTCTGGTAGGGCACCTTACGGGAACAGCATCCAGGGCAAGATCATGCAGGGCTGTGTTGACCCCATTAAAGAAGGGGTTTCATTCTGAGATAGCCATTGTAGAGCTTTCAGGAAAGGCATGAGGTGCCCCAACTTCATTTTAAAGAATCACTTGCTGATAGAAGTTGAGGGGTAAGTAGATAAAAGATTGTGAGATTGTGAGGTGTGGGCAAGATGCTAAAGGTGAAAGTGGGGAAATCAGAAAGCTGGTGCATGTTGCAGTGGTCTACACCAGATAGACTAGTTTGGAATAGTGTGGGATCTGTGAAGATGGTGGAAAGGGGGCTACATTTTCAAGGCAGAGGCAGTGTAACTTGCCCACTAACTGGATATAAAGTGAGGGGAAGAAAGGAGTCAGGGAATGACTGCAAGGCATTTGGCTTGAGCAACTGAAAGGATAGAACTTCAGTGTCTTGAGCTAGGAAATACAATTGAGCCTAGAAATCTTGAGTTTGACTTGGACACATTAAAATTCTTCTTAGATATGTATGCAGATGTGAGCCCTGGATAAGAATAGCTTAAGAGTCCAGAGAAGTTCAGGCTGGGGGTATAGATTTAGAAGACATCAAATAAGAGCTTTCTTTGGGGGGAGGGGGCAGGTGGTACTGGGGTTTGAACTCAGGGCCTTGCACTTTGTAGGCAAGCCTTCTACCACTTATGCCATGTTTCCAGCCCCTTTTTTGCTACAGTTTGTCTTTAAAGTATCATGCTTTTGCCCTGGCCAGCCTTAGACAGTAATCCTCCTACCTCTGTTTTCCAAGTACCTGGGATTACAGATGGGACTCACCATGCCCTGCGTGTTTGGTTTTTGATAGAATCTTGCTAATTTTTTTTCCTTTTTTTTTTTTTGGTGTGTGTGTGGGGGTATGTGGGTATCTGGACTGGCCTAGAACCATGATATCCTCTTTTCTCTGTTGCCTGAGTGACAGAGAATTATAGGCATGCACCACCACAGCCAGCTTCTCTGTGGGGGTGGGTGGTAGAGAAGGGAAGGAGTGGGGGGAGGCTGTTAGTGTAAGAATGGAGAAGTTATTGATACTGTAATTTAAAAATGGTCATTAAAAATAGCATTTTATGAATTTGCCAATGGAAAGAATTACATGTATTTTAAAATATTTAATGTACTTGTATATAACGTTCTATTTTAAGTGAGAAATATGTAACTGTTGTACTTTTTATGGAACAAGAACTAAAGTAAAATATAGCAGAATATTTTGGTACTTAGGTACAAAAATCTTATATTAACTAATGTATGTAAATGTGTTCTTGGTTATTTAGAGTTATTTATATAAATACCTGTGTTTTTTGTGTGGTTTTAAAGGCAATGCTATGGGCTATGTACGAATGATAAGATCTGGTGGTCTTCACTGCAGCAGCAATGCCATTAGGTAAGGATGCACACATCATTTTTGCCTTGATTATTGCATTTAAATGTTATGTTACTTAAATCTCACACATAATGTTGTAGAGAAGGTGTTTTTGTTAATATATTTTGAGGTAAAATATGAGCAAAAGCCATTAATCCTACTATTTAGATTTTTCTCAATTTTAAGACTTTTATCTTCATTTCTCCTAATATTATAGTTAATTTATCAGTATGCTTTCTGAATGGATCTAAAGATTACATGATTTTAAGGTTTAAAATGTGACCATATCTGAAATTTGATTTGGAATTAAAGTGGCGATACTAACAATGCACTGAAATGCTAAGTTCTTTCCAAATTTGTAGTTGGAATTTTGAGTTCTGCAGTACCACTTCATATCTTTGTCAGTCACTTGTATTTTACTTGCCCCAATAAATCCCTTCCCAAATTCTTAATGTAGATTTGTTCCTGATCTTGAAGATATTGTAAATTTTGAAGAACTAGTAAAAGAAGAAGGTCTTGCAGAAGAAACTTTGAAAGCAGCAAGGTAATCTGTTTTGGAATGATCTAAATTTGGAAGTTTAAAAGTATGTATATAATATATTAAAGAGAAACAGAGGGTAATATATAATTTATATGCCAGTATTTTTGTTACACAAATTATGGTCTCAGCATATGAGAATTGTTTTTTTAAGAAGAATACATTATCCCAAGATCTTTCCAGCTTCACTAAAGAGGGATCTTCTAGAACACGCTGCCAGTATGCTAGCCACCAGTCACACATTACTCTTAAGCACTTAAAATGTGGCTGGTCCAGACAGCTAATTTTGAGGATTCAGTATAAGTGAAAGAATGCTAAATACCTCATTTTTAAAATGTCCCATTTCTTTTTACTTTTGAGATGTTTCTGTTTATCAGCACTCTTCCGGAATGCTAGTCCTTCCTTTCATGTCACCTAGAGCAGCACTGTCCAGTGCATATGGATGACTGTTGAACACTTGAAGTACAGCGAATGGGACTGAGGCAGTCAATCTTAAATTTTAGTTTAGTTTATTTGAAATAGCTAATGGCTATATTATTAGATAGTGCAAGTCTCTGGATGTGGATCAGTAGTGATTTTATAACATAACTTTAAGCCGAGAAAGATATACAGAATTGTTAGGAATATGTACAGAAAGCTCTGGGTTTTCTTTGTAACAGTGACAACAAAATTTATTGCATTGGGCATGAAGGGGCCCTGGACAAAGTGCCGACAGTTTGAATGTCAAAAAGAATAATGGTAAGAATAGGTTATAATGCACTGAATTAAAAAATACACATGCTATAGTATAAGAAAGGTTGGAGGAAGATAATGAAAGTTCTTTTTACAGAAGAATGCCAGCTAACATAGAAGAGATTAGAAGATTTATAGGGAAAAACTCACCATTTTTCAACCACCAGTATAATATTTTAACATTGGGTGAAAAGTTTTTAGAGAACCAGAAGATTCATTTAAAAAAAAAAATCCCACAAAATTGCTTATTAATGACAAATGGGAAAACAATCAGCAATAGAGAGACGTCTCCCACCTTTACCAGCTGATCAAACGTAGCATCACCAGGAATGGGACCAGTGTTATGTGGCCTCCTCATGCAAATGTAATGGCAGGTACCTAGTTCATATTCTTGCCAGAAACGTTTACTCTGAATTTATGAGGAAGCAATCTGAGAAAATGGAGAATGTGGGATATTTTATAAAATCTGGCCTCTTAAAAAATGGCAAATGTCATGAAAGACAAAAAAGGAGACTGTTCTAGATTAGGAGCATAAAGAGACCTACCTGATAACTAAATGTAATGAGGTGGTCCTTATTCATGTCCTATATAAAGAAAGAGGTATCTTGTAAAGGACATTTGGGGAGTGATGGGGGAGATTACAATGGGTTATATATATTAGTTCTGTTGCCCATCCAATCCCTGTGTTGTAGTGTTGGGTAATAATGTACTGTGGCTTTGTTGAGAAATGTCTTAGTAGAGTTCATGCTCAATGAAGTGTTTATGTGCTAAGTGATATGAGGTCTACAACCTTGAAATGTTCCAGAAGATAGAGGAAAGAAGCACGGCAAACTTAACAAGTGGTGAACGTAGTTTATAAGGGTATATAGGTATTTGTTACACTGTATTTTAACTCTTTGACAGGCTTGAAATTAAAAAAAAAATATTGGAAAGTCTGTATGTGAGTGTACACATTTTAATGAGAGTAGACCTCAATACAACAGTTTTGCTCTGGAATACCCTGCTGTGTGGCTTATAGGTGTTTGCCAAATTACATAAGACAGGTACAGTTTATGAGTCATTTGAAAATTTATACCTGAAAATGGCTAAAATAGTTCATATATCAAAGAAAGAAGATTGGACCTTTATCTCTTGTTAAACAATACCATTTTCTCCAAAATTGGTGACCATTTAAAAAAATATATTGGTGTAGTCCAAGGAAGTAAGAGAAAGGAATATTGTCTCTTAAGAACTCTGAGGTGAAACCAACTGATCCCTGCAGGGTCCAGATTTGTGTAAGGAAATGGATGGTTGATGGATGGTGAAGCCAAGAAGTTGTAGGGTCCTGATAATAGATAGATTATCCATATAGACAATGGAGGAGGCACCCTAGTGCAAGATAATAAATTAGGGCAGTGGCTGAAATATTAGTAGATAACTGCTCTCAGGAAAGAGTTAATGAATATACAGACCACTCATGATTTATAGTGGCTCAACTTAACAGTTTTGGGCTTTACTTTCAGCTTTATGATGGTGTGAAAACGATAGGCGTTCAATAGAAACCATACTTCAGATTTTGAATTTGGATCCTTTTCCAGGCAAACAGTGTGTACTGTGATCCTCTTGTGATAACTGGCAGTGGCTGCAAATAGCAGCTCCTGTTTATCCCTGCTGTCACGAGGGGAAACAACAGATATTCTGCAGCATACTGTGTTGCTAAGCTATTGTGCTGGGTGGTTTAGGTGTATTCAATGCATTCTTTTTGTTACTTTATTTTCAGTTTACAGTGGGTTTATCAGGATAGAACCCCATTATAGGCTGAAGAGTATCTGTAGTTGGATCATGTGAGAGATTTCTACCTTCTTCTGTTACTGGAGGAATATCAATTTGAAAGTGGTAGTAGCTATACATGAGGATTACAGGGGCAAAAACACCTCATGTTGCAAAGGTTGGAAGAGAAGCTAAGTTCTTGAAGAAGGCCAGGTTTAAGTTGAGGTGAGGAGATGTGAAAGAAGCTCTAGTGGAGAGATTTATAATGATGCAGAAGCAACTTAAGAGATGGGGTTTTACTGGACTTAGTGTGGGGAGAAGTTGTTTCTACCCATAAGGAAAATGAGTTCATTCTGAACTCCAAGGAAATTTACATAGAAGTTTTATGATATTTCCTGCTTTGGGGTACACTTATCTAACTTCGTAAGTGATGGATTTTTTTTTTAAAAAAGACACACTACTTTTGAAAAAGGAACCAAGAAATACGTATTTGTGTGTGTGTGTGTGTATATATATGTATACATACATACGTACATTGTTTCTTAGGCACTTGGATTCAGTCCTCAGTGATCATACACGGAATTCTGCTGAAGGCACAGAATATTTCAAAATGCTTGTAGATGTTTTTGCTCCAGAATTTCGAAGGCCAAAGAATATACATCTCCGAAATTTCTATATCATTGTTCCTCCTCTAGTGAGTATTTTCAGAACTTGAAATGAACTTTTTTAAAAACTGTGTTAATAAGTAGATCCAATTTCCTTGAGGCATGAGATGTACATAGACTGTAAGTACTTTCTGATTACATATAAAACTAAATGTGGTCTTAGTGAATGTGACCTAGAATTTTTACTTATTAGCTATGCTTAAAAAGGTTTATAGTTAAGCTGCATTCTTATTTGTTAATAACTGCTAGAGAAATCCCAGTATTTTTTAAATTACTTGAGTGCATGCCATTATATGTATAGCATTCATCCTTTGGGTGGAATTATACCACATAAGCACTTTAAGTGCTTAATGTAGATGAACTTTAACTGTTATATTATGAAGGTTTTTAGAAAAATACATCTCTTAAGATGTGAGCCTGTCTCATTTGGTAATACTGTAGTTAACTTGAGGTGAGCTCTTACCACATTTCTTTAATCTGGAGGGTATTTCCTCAGGTCATAGTAGGCAGCAGTGAAGCCAGTGGTGAGCTTAGGAAGAGTCTGGAAGTTTTATAGGATTATGTTACAAAGTGGATGAAGAGCACTTCAAAGACATACAGGCTATTCTTTGTGTGCTTAAGTTTATAGTCTAATTCCAGAAAAAAGATAAGCAGAAATGAGCTATCCAAGAAAGATGTAAACCACATTTGATAAGAGATTGCACAGATACATGATTGACAAATTTCACAGGTGATAAAATTGAAACTTCTATTTCCATTGTAGGCTGTTATAATATTTATCCCACTGTATCACGCTTATTTTTTAAACCATGCTCTCTGTACTCCTATAGAGCTGTGTTGTCTGTGTGTATCCATATGTGGTTATTTAAATTTAAATTAATTAAAATTTTATAAAATAATTCAGTTCGTCAGTTACATTAGCCTTATTTCAAGAGCTCAGTGGCTACATGAGGCTAGTGGCTTTCTGTGATTGGGCAGTCAGATACACCTTTCTGTCATTACCAGTAGTTCCAGTGAGAACTCTAGGTGGCAGTCATTTTTATCTTAAGTTCTTAATGCCATGTATATAGTAAGCTTAAGCAAATTTTTTTTTGTTGAAGAAATAATTTGATTAGATAAGGTGTTTTAGAATACCTGAATTTTCAAGAGAAGTACTGTTTTGAGGACTTCAGCATTCAGCCAGATGACTGCTAATCCATTTTAATGAAGAACATGATAAGCAGTGTTTTAGAATGAATTAAGTAGGCAGAATGGCTGCCCTGCATGTGATGAGTACTATGCTTCCAGGAAAAGTGGGTCTGTTTTTTGCCTCCTGTGTTCACTGAGTATATGACTTTGGGTAGGATCATAAATCTCCCAAGGCTCAGTGTTCTCATCTCTAAAATGTGCATAATATTTTATAATGAACCATTTACAAGGACTGTGCTAGGGTTAAGTAGTGATTGAGAAGTATTTTTATTTAAGGGATTTGGATAGAAGAGCCATTAAGAGACACTTCTATAGATTTGTTTCCTCACTAAGGGACTCTTTTTTTTTTAAACAAAAAGACTATCTGAGGCAAATGATGTTTCAGATCAAAATAACAGGAACCTAGAAGAAATTCTATTTATAATTTACGAAATGAGGGTTTTATTAGCACGGTTTTTCTGATGTCTTTATATCCCTTTTTAGACCCTCAACTTTGTAGAGCATTCCATTAGTTGCAAGGAGAAACTGAATAAAAAAAATAAGATTGGAGCTGCCTTTACTGATGATGGTTTTGCCATGGGTAAGCCTAATGAAACTGTTTCCCCGTCAATTTTATGTTTACCTTAAAATGGGTTCTTAGAAACATTTGCTTGAAAATCAGTTTATGTGTTCTTCATAGGTTTTTTTCATGAGCAGTATTTACTGTTACTTTTTAAATGGGTCAATCTGATGGAAAATAACTTGTTTTCCATCATCTATGACTGTCATTAAATGGTAGCCTCTTGGTGTTGCTAGTCAATGTATCTAGTTTGACCTATGATTTATGCTTTGTTTTTGTTGTGGTTTTATAGTTTCAGCATTTTGTTTTTCCCAGGTTTCCCTGTATCTTTCTTATTACCAGTTTAGCAGTGGAAGTTTTTATTCTCTAACAGTAACAGCCATATGATTTTCCAGGTCATATTATTTATTAATTTTCCTTTTGTTTTTTTCTTTAGTTCTTTGTACTTTTATGTCTTTTTAAAGGAAGAAATTAGCCATTTTTCTAAACTTGTTCATACTGCAAAATGTGATCTGGAAGAGGATTAATTAAAAAATGTTTAGCTTATGGCTAGGAGTTATTGGTAAAGGAGTAGAATACAACTTCTGTACTCACATTAATTTAACTTCGGTTTTGCTGATGCCTTTAGGTGTGGCTTACATCTTAAAACTTTTGGATCAGTACCAGGAGTTTGATTCACTTCACTGGTTTCAGTCTGTTAGAGAGAAATACATAAAGGAGATAAGAACAGTTGCTAAGCAACAGAATGTGCAGTCAACTAGTCAAGATGAAAAACTGCTACAAACCATGAATCTTACTCAGAAGCGACTGGATGTCTATCTACAGGTAGATGAATAAAGAGTCAAATCTCCTTTGGCTTTTTGATATTCATTGCATTTGATATCTGAAAACTAGAGTCATATAGAAACTTGCATTTCAGCAAGTGAGATAGTGATAAAAAGAATATGTCTTAAAATGGTACTTGGAAGCCATTCAGTCTTAAAAATGGGTGGGTTGGTTCAGTTTCTGTATTTATGACTCCCATTAGAACTTTTAAAAATAATAAGAGCAAAGTATAAATATTTTTGATATTTTGCTATGAATATTTTTCCATCTCGTTTGAAATTTATTCACACAGGAATTTGAATTGCTGTACTTCTCATTGAGCAGTGCAAGAATTTTCTTCAGAGCAGACAAGACTGCAGCTGAAGAGAACCAAGAAAAGAAAGAGAAGGAAGGTAAGTAAATGGCTTAATGTGGCAAGAATAGTAAGCCTCTCTTCAGCAGTAGCCACTGATGTTCCTGGTTGGGTTTCTAGCTACTGTATTCTTTGGAAAATAATACATCTAGAAACAAGTCTTTTAAAAAGCAAAAGCCCATTAATGGATCGTGTGAAATTGAAAAGAAATTTATATAGTTCATTTCACTCTCTGGTAACCATTTAAGCTCTTACTCAGTTTCCTTTTGTAACTTAAATAAAATTTGAAAAGTTCCATTTGTTTCTTCTACTGTTCAATCTATGGCAGATTAGAAGGAACAGATTAGGGGAGGATTGCTGAATGTTCCTGCAGACAGAACTGCTGCTGATTAGACATTAACTGATGGGAGTGGTGATCAGAGAGGTTTGCAGTCAGTTACAGAGCTATTTAGGGTTACAGTCAACAGTGTCCTGTCCTCCATAGCTAGATTCTGGAGAATCAGTGTGCAGTGACTCTAAGAATCACTGAAGAAAGGATTATGTCCACAGTATTCTTTGCAGGACAATGGAAAGTACTAATATACTTCAGCGTGTAAAAGATTGCTCAGTGTTTCCTGTGTTTTATATGTAATCGTGATAAATCTCCCTCAGTCTTGACACTTAGGAACAGTGTTTTCCTTGTTCTCTGATGGAAATTACGTAACATACATTTTTCTTTGTTTGGAAGGTCATAAGGAGGTATAGGAACAAGTTGATCTTTACAGTTTTTATGTTCATCTCTTTTTCTTACTGTATTTCATGAATTTTTTTTATAAAGATACAAATACATTTCATAAATAGCATGTTTTTATTAAGCTTATTTTGTGTCAGATTTTAAAATGCCCCTCCCCCCCGCTTTCTTTCTAACAGTGAACAGAGGTGACTGATTTGGGTACATTGCTTCATTGACTATTACTAACATTGCTTATTTATTAGGAACTTATCTAGGTATGTTTAGAAACTGGACTGAGTAATAAGGATGTGTTTGAAAAATTGTTTCAGGTTGTTACTTGGAAAATACTTAGTATTTGTTAAATGAAAATTTGTATATATTACATTTTAGGTTCATATTCAGGAAAAATTACTAATCCATTTGAGTCCATGTAATCTAAATTGTGAAGAAACTCATTGTTTAGGTTTTGCGCTGCATTTTGTGAGGTCAGAACCTGGTCTTCAGTGCAGGTGACTAGGAAAACTCTGCAAGTGGCAAGCATTAAGAAAAACAGTCCTTCATTCTCATGGCAGTGGGATTCCTTGCTTTGCTCTGGTTGTGTATATCACTTACATGTCCAGATCATTCTTCTGTTTAAAACTGTAGTTTAGTTCAAGATTGCTCAGAGTTGTTTAATACATTAGCTAAATAGCTTTTATCCGTTAATTTTGCATATGTCAGGAATTCATTCTATTCGCACATAATAAAAAGTGCATTAAGCCAGGTGTTGTGGCTCACACCTGTAATCTTAGCTAATTGGAAGTAAAAGATGGAAGGATCACAGTTTGAGGCCAGCCCTAGGCAAAATGTTTTCGAGACACCTTCCATCCCCATCTCAACTAATAAGAGCTGCGTGTGGTGGTGTGCACCTGTCATCCCAGCTAAGTTGGAAGCCTAAATAGGAGGATCACAGTCCTGGCCAGCCTGGGTGTAAATACAAGACCCTTTTCCAAAAATACCTAAATCAAAAAGGGTTAGGGACATAGCCCAAGTGACAAAGTGCCTGACTAGTGAGCACAAGGTCCTGAGTTCAAAGTTGCTGTTAAAAATGAATTGTAAATATAAATGGGAAGTTATTTGTTCTGGAAAATCTTGGTGTGTGAGTTTGCAGCCGTGTTTCTAACAGGGTAATACACAGTGATGATTTCTTGGGTCATGTGGAAGAACTGGGGAGCCTGCCTTACTTCCATAGGGGTGTCAAGATTCCACAGGAGGACACTCATACAGTGTGAAGCCCTATCCCAGATGCAGTTTTTAATTTCTTCAGCTCCACATTCCCATTGAGAACCAGTTAAAACTTTCACAGTATTTAGCCTAGGTATTATTTGTGATGTTAGAGAAATACTTGATTGATGAAACCTTTACTTAGTTTAAAATTTAGCAGTATAGCTCTTCTTAGGTTTTACTTTTAATTCATTTTTTAAATGAATATGAATGTTCATTGTTATTTTCACTCATGCTTCTAGAAGAAACTAAAACAAGCAATGGAGACCTGTCTGCTGATCCTGTTGTGAAATGATACTGGTGGTATGAAATCATCAGAACTGTGTGAATACTTTGCCAATGGAGTGGACGTTAGAAGCTGTTGATGAGTTGTTTCCTGGGTCTCATCTCTGGAAGAAATTTACATGTTGCAACTCTTTAAGGCAGTTTTCTAAAGTTAAACCTATTCTGTTTCTAAAGGCTCTACTTTTCAAAAGAGGAGAGAGAAAGATTTTAAAACTGGAATTTTCCCTGGATTTTAGGTAGAAGATGTACCTAGGAACAGTTATTTGACATGAGGTTTTAGAAGGGCAAATCCAGATTCCTAAACTGTCACCTTGGTAATCTATATGAGTGTTTGTAATTTGTATTTGCATAGGCATTTGATCCATATTTATCTTGTCATTGGAAATTCAGTGCATATATACATCCAGTAAATACATCTTAAAAAAAGGATTTGAGCCTGAAATTTGTGAGGCATACATGTTAATATGCTTGTGGAAAGAATATATAAAAATGTCCTTGAAACTAGAGGTGAGGCACAGTATGTTATGTACCCTTTGTGTACAGTGTAACTGATGACCCTTCATGCATTATTAATTTCATGTGACTCACAAGAGCTGCTAATGTCTTTGATGAGACATTTTATAACTAGTTTACATTGCTTTGGGAACATTTAACCTCCAACAACTGCTTTAAATGTAAGATTTACTTAATATTCAAAAAAAAAAAAAACTCACATAAAGCCATAGAGTCCTGCTTGAAGCTTCACTTTGGTTTGAAGGCACTCTGATATCAGAAGAAATTAAATTACTTCTGCACCCAAACTCAGGTTTCTTCTACGTTAAGTTAAATTGAAATCTTGGTGATGGTTTGGGCAGACTTTTTCTTTGTATCAAGTATAATTTAAGATACAAGAGTAAAATAACAATTGCACTGTGGCAGGCTTTAAAAATTTTACCACTGTGAGAATAAAACTAATAAATCAGTAATTTAAAAAGTTTTAGAAAGATTTTGAGTAAATTTAGTTCCCAGCAGCCTACTAGCTTTATTTTTGTAAAGGTATGTTAGTTAATAGTTGAGTGGATTAATCATGGCCTTTTAAAAAATACAGTAAAGTGATGCCTTTACAATGAGAAGAAAAACTTAAAACTTTTAATGTAGTACAAACATTTTGGGAAATGTTGGGTTTTTCTATTGTGTTTGCCTGCTAACTATTTCTTTGAATAAATTCTGCAAGTAATTCTAACATTGTTAGAATTCTAACATTATTTCTTGATTCCAGATTTTGGGATGCATATACAGTGCCCTGTATGTACTCATTGGTTAGGGTCAGGGTCAGAGTAACTTTCCCAGCCTAGGTAAATACTTTCATTGCTAAAAATCAGAAGAAACAGAATATGTTGGAAATGTTTCTTTGTTTATTATGTAAACATGGCTTATAGAATTATGGACATTAGATGCATTAAAGGCATTTAATATTTGTAATTCATACTAACTGTAGAAATGGCCCTAAAGCATGCTGCATAATTAATAATTTATATTTTCATTATTATAAATGTTTATATTGATACTGGATTTGATTATATCAAATTAGTCACTATTTCATAGCCACAGTATTGTTTTCTCTGTTTTTCTTTTCTGACTTAATAGGAAGGAAACTGTGAATAAAGAGTCACATGCTCTTTGTTCACTATCCCCACACGTAAAAATCAATTCTTTCATCAATATTAAAGTTCACATGCTGACTCGCTGGGTACCTACAATTGAGAAGAAAGTGACAGGTCATTTTTTTACCTTGAGTTGAAAATTATGTCACTGCAGTCTGGATAAAATAAGTTCATATATTTGTAATACAACTTCTGAAATAAGTATTTAAATGGTATTAAATTGCAGAGCAACAGGGCTTCAGTGTACTCATAACTGAGTTAATGTATACATTTGGGTGATGATTTTCCTTGCTAACATTAATGTTAATATTTTTCAGACATACTATAATTTAAAAATTAATGTGAGCATTTGTTGTAAGGTCACAGAAAACTTACCAGTGTTCAAATTCTCAGGAATTAAGGACTAACCATAACATTGTTCTAGTCTGATTTTGTAAAAGATGGCAAGTTTGTTACCTCACTTGAGTGGAGGTTCCCCTCCCCCCCATTCTAAGAGAATACAATATGTATAAAAACATTAATAAATATAATTTCAAATTTTTCCTTCCTCTGGATTGTTTATGTTCAGAATTGAACGTCTTAAACCAGTAGTTCTTAATAGTAACTTTTTTGAGATACCCTTATGTTTAAAAAATATTTAGAATAAAAATGTTGCATTCTAGACAGGGGCTGTAGCTCAGTGGTACTGTGCTTTCCCAGAATGTACAAGGCTGTGGGTTCAATCCCCAGCACCACATAAAAATAAGAGACATTATAAATGCTAAATATAATTTTAAAAAATGTTACATGCACATAGGCAAAAAAATGATAAGTATAAAATTGGGATTGGGTCTTTTCTGTGTATCCTGTGTGAAGAACTTTTCTTTCCTTTATACATTCCTGATCTCTGCATAGATTGATACTTTCAAATAGAAAGAACCAACATGAAGTTCCTTTAAATCCTAATCTTGGGAAGGGATCCTATGTATGCATAGTTGATATGTTCGAAGTAATTATTGTCCCATTTACAAACATGAGTTGAACTGAAATAGTAGTAAGTTTTTTGTTTTAAGACAGGGTCTTGCTTCATAGCCCAGGCCAGCCTCAAACTCTTGATCCCTAGATGTGCACCACCATTCCTAGCTCAAGAGCCTTTTAAATGTTCTACTGGATGCAAGAGATACAAGCTTGTTAAACATTGTGCTGGAGAAATGCCTGCTTGCTGCCCTTTCTTCTTCTTAGGTAGTAAATTTCTGAAGAGCGGAGGGTGAGATACCATTGCAGACATCATGCCATTCTTTATGTTGGGTTTGCTAAATGTAAAACAGTGGACTTCCAGTCAGCTTTGATAATTTTGGTATACAATTCTCATTATAGCTGCATGCTGTAGACCTTTTAGACATTCCTTTACTTAGGAAGTTTTAATGCTGTAGTTTTTCTATAGAAATTAAGTAAGACTGTGCAGGAACCTTCAAGATGGAGATAGTAAGGTTAAAGTTCAGTTTATATAAAGGTAAATATAGTGTATAAAAACATTTTTCTCTATTTTGGTAACTTGGCTCTTCTTTACCACTTAGTTTACCTGATACCTCTAGTTTCCATTATTGGAGATATACTCAGGAATATAGATGAAATTTATCTTTCAGTTGATAACATGTCTGATGTCATAATTCTGGGATCATCTTTAATGACTAAGTACATTTATATATATGTAAGGTCTCTGCGTAGTGAGTCATTCTTTAGTAATGCTGTATCATGATGGGTGAATTAAAACTTCTGTACTCAGAAGCACCTGTCTATATAAAATTAATATTAATCTTTGTAGGATCTATAGGAAAGGTAACCAGGCATTAAGGATTGCCTTGATACAGCTGCTGAATATCAGAATAATCTTCAAAGCTTAAACATTTGGTGATCGATTCATCACCAGTCTCATGTACATGGCACACATTGGCTAGAAAACATAGGCTCTAGCCACAGTGATATGAGTTCTGACTTTTTTTTGCCCATGAGCAGGTTGTTTACCCTCTGCTTCATTTCCTCAGGCAGAACATGGAATGATAAAAATAGTATTTAGTTTATAGGTTTCTGAGGATTCAGTTAATTATGTATAAAGCACTGTATTTACTAAGAAACAATACCATGAAGCTGGGTATTGTGGTACACAACTGTAATCCTAGCACTTGGTGGAGCCGAGGCAGAATTTATGAGCATGAATTTGCTGACAGCTTGGGCTACATGGTGAGACAGTCTCATAAGACCAAAGAAAAAGAAACACACTACAAATTTTAGTTACAGTATTTACAGTAATATTTATGGTAGGGGCTACATAGTGAGATGGTCTCAAAAAGGAAGTTTCCTCTTCCCCCAGGGAACTTCTGTGAAGGGGTTCAGTAGAAACTAGTCCCATGCTTTTACAATTTGTTTTCCTAAATAACATGGTGTTTTGCATGTTTACTGAATTTAATTGAATCTTTTATGGCTTTAATTTAGTATTACTTGAAGTTCATCCATGTTGATACGTGGTGATGGTTTAGTTTTACTTCTCTAATATCCTGTCTGAATGCAGACGTTTTATCTCTTCTCCTCTTGGTGGCATTTGGGTTTTCACATTTAGGATACTGTAAGCAATGCTGCTGTAATTGTTTTCGGACATGTCCTGGAACACATGTAGAAACTGCAAGGTGTAGGACAGGTGCACTTCCAAGTTGACTATGCCAAATTGTTCTCTCATCTTAGCAGTAGGTGAGATTCCTAGTTGCTTCATTCCTGTCAACAGGTGAATTTTTGCAGTCTGGACAATCTAAAATGTCTTAGGGTGCTTTTAAGGTGCACTTCCTGATTACTGTATGAGATTACTGATCGAGCATACTTCTGTTTATGAACACTTTGTAATCTATGAAGTGCTTTCATTATATATCTTTAAAAATTAACATAATCGTAGAAGTTTTTATTCTGGATATTTGGTCTTGCGTGCTTTCATTCTCTGATGTTTTTGATGAAGGTAATTTTAAGGAACTGTCTTCTTATGCTTTGCTTATGATACACTTACTTTGTCTTATTAAGAGTCACACAGTCCTAATAGTGGTTTGGTTTTCAACCTAGTAGCTACTCAGGACTTGAGTTTCTCCACCCTAGAGACTCCTGTAGTGAAAAAAGTGGTAAGAAACTGTTGGCTCTTACAGCATGTCAGAGGACTTAACTGATCTAATACAGTGAGTGAGGCTAGCTAGGCAAATATGTAAGGCATTAGCAAACACTGAACTAATTTTACAGTGTACAATCTCAAACTAGTTTAAATCAGCTCACCTTGCCTCTCATGGCATTGTCCTGTGAGGTTAATCTACTTTTGGGTTGCAAAAGTTATTTAATTGCAGGTAGGGGAGGGGGCAGGGGGGGAGAAATGACCTAAACAATGTATGCATATGTGAATAAATGAGTAATTTTCAAAAAAGTTATTTAATTAGAATTAAAATATTGTACTCATTGAATAGAGGCATTTTTGACAGTGTTGTTTCCTCTGCTATGATTTCACTGTGCCCTGGTTTAATGGAAATTAACTGTGAAAGCTAGAGAACTGACTTTACTTTTCTTCCTGGGATGTTGTGAAAAATAACCACAACAAACAAAAATACAGAGTGATAATTTTTATTGCTAGGTTATTATTACAAAGAAAAAGAGCTTGTTTAACTTGGTTACAATAAACAAACTGTACCAATTCATGATCTTTATTCTTATTTCATAATTAGGAGGGAATCGAAGAGTGGGCTGAGACTCCAGGAACCAGAAATAATCAGGGTGGAAATAACTTCATACCAAGCCCTATAGCCAGCTGTGCTTCAAGTGAGTTTTAAAATTAATTGGTCCCTTCCTTGAGGAGGTTCTGGCTCAGAAGAAACAGGAAGTAGTAGAGTTGCACCCTGTCCACAGGAAATAGCCACTAAAAACAGTTCAGAGTACCTTAAACTTTTGAATGAATGATGGTTCAGTATGGTTCTGTTGTAAAGTTAAATATCTTTTGTGGTGTTCACCTGCTAGTCTTTTTTATTGCATGGTATCTGTAACAGTTACCAAAACTAGATCTGTACCTCTACTAGTGTGCTGTCCTATGCACATGGTAATGCTACAAGATCCAGTTAATTATGAGACAGCTGGATTTTGAATACATGCTTTTCAGAATGGTAGGCACTTAAAATTCATTAAGTAAAATATAAAAATAGATTATATTAATAAGAAATACTTAGTATTTATCAAAGTATAAACCTAGGCTTTTGCCATTTTTAAAAAAGGGTATTGGAAACTGAAGAGGTGACATCCAAACAAAGTGAACAATGTAGTTCCATAGCTTTTGTTCTGAACACTGAACAATGCAGTCTAAGGAAAGGACTTACCACAAACACCTAAAATAACACTTGTAGATGGGTAGGAATGTTGTCACCCATTTCTTACTGTTTCCCTCCCAAGTCTCGGTAGCAAGGCATCGAGGGGTACGTTCCACAGACGCTCAGCATTCTGAAACCAGGTCAGTGTTCCTGTGCATCAGAGAAGTTGAAAACCCTTAAGGAGGTAGCTCTCCTTCCTGTGTGCTCTTCCCCACAGGCCCAAGTGAGTTATGCTTCAGATTCTGCACCTCTATTTTCACTTGGGCTTCCGTCATTGTCATCTGGTTGATCACTTAACAGTACATACTTTCCATCATTGGTTAGTGGTATAGACAGCATTAGTTGAGCCAGTGCTTCTGGATCCTGAAGTTAGAAGAGTTTAAGAGGAAAAAAAAGAAAAAGCTTAAGATGCACTTATACCCCCCACCCCCTGGCTTGCTTTCAATGTTCTGTGATCTAAACTTTCAGCTGACTCCTTGCTTTTCTGAAAAAACTCAAGGGTATATTTTTCCTCTCAGTCCAAATATCTTTTGAAAAAATATTTTTGGTGGCACTGGGATTTGCACTCAGGGCCTCACGCCTATTAGGCAGCCACTCCAAGAGCCCTTTTTTGTATGGGGTATTTTTGAAGCAGGGTCTTGTGAACTGTTTGCCAGAGCTGGCCTTGAACTGCAGCCTCCTGATCTCTGCCTCCTGAGCAGCTAGAATTACAGATGTGAGCCACAGGCAACCAATCCAAATATCATTTTTGTAGCAAATTTACAATCATCCAACCAAAGAGTTCATAAAGGAACTTTCTTCATAAAACTTTTGTCTGCTATATCTTTAAACCCCTTTCTTGTTTAGTCTATACCATGAGTTTGGTAAGCTATGGCCACTTAGCTTACCACTTGTTTTATAAATAAAGCTGTGCTGGAGCACAGCCATGACCATTTGTTTCAATACTACCCGTGGCCAAGTTGAGTCGTTAGGATAGATGAGACGCCTAAACAAAAATGTGCTGACCTCCTGTCTATACCATTAAATTCTAACTTGGAAGCTGGACATGGTGGCACACACCTGTAATAGGATTGTGAGTTTGAGGTCAACCCAGGCAAAGTTAGTGAGACCCTATGTAGAAACAAAACAAAAAGCCATTTGCCATTATTTCAGGTACACTATTCATCATTCCCTCCCTGATAAGACTGAATGCACAAACGAGGCATGTAATGCCTACATGTAACTGTTTAAAGTTTAAAACTCAGCTCCTCAGTGACATTAGGCACATTCAGTGTACATATTAAATAATGCAGATTTTTATCACTTCCATATTGCAGGAAGTTGTAACAGACTCCTAAACTAGAAGCCCTCTGGGGAAGGGGACATACCTTATTCACAATTCTAATTCCAGGGTTGTTTTTTTTTTTTTGGTACTGGGGTTTGAACTCAGGGCTTCGAACTCAGGGCTTCATGCTTGCTGGGCAGGCGCCCAGGGTTGTTCTTACACAAATTATGCTTTCAAAAATTGGATGAATGAGAGACTAAGCCACTGAAGGATAGGGAGGTCTCAGTGTTATTTCTCATAAGTTCCCAGGCGATGTCTGCCAGTGTTGCTGGGCCTGTGATCATCCTCTGAGGGATGAGGCCTTGTAGTATGTGATAGGTACTCAAGTTTTAATATCTTAATAGGAAAGAAGAAATCTAGCCAACTAGTATGCAAGCAAGAATGTTAACCAAGAAGAGCCACAGCAGTGGTGTTTATTAAGAAGTGCACATGTGTTACCAATGAATGTGGCATTGGCCGATCACAGATGTCTGGTTGTTAGAATGCTTAAAGGAAATCTCAAATATGGCCACACTGTATAGTGAGCTTCACCTTTCTTTTTGAGAAAGTGTTAGTATGTGAATTTGAGTAATTGTTAAGCCACTACTCAAATGCACCTTACCTTTTGAACCTCAATGATTTCTTTTCCCAAATTAATAGCATAACATATCTGTAAAAGACAAGAAAAGTAGTGATTGGCAAAGGTAGGAAAGGATAAAAGTACCAGAAAAATGTGACATGGAGACTATAATAAGGCCACTGTCTGTTCACATCCCCGTGGGCAGAAAGGACTTTGCTGCACAAGACTGGCTCCTTGAGGCCCAGTGCCAACTGTCCTGACCTCCTGTTACTAATTTATGCCATACTCAAAGTATTCCAGGTAAGTGAGAACTAAGTTAATTGCCCACTACATGTTCATATATACAGTGGCAAACAGACACTGAATGAAAGAACAGTATTTATTTATTTATTTAATGGTACATGGGATTGAATTGAAAGCTTTAGCTTGAGCCACACTCCTAGTCCAGTCCAGGATTGATTAACTGATGAGTTCTAAAAAATGGATGTGGTGTTTTTTTGTATTAAACAAAGGAACAGTTTAAGTGTACTTTACTCACACCTTCTTACTCAGTTGGCTCTCTGAGACTATTCTCTCTTGTAGCTGTAGCTTTTTTAACATTTTTTTAACTGCTTTTAACATTTCATATATCCTTTCTAAACAGTTAAATCTTGCTATTAAAGCAATATTACTCATTCACTCTGTTTTAGTTAGTATGTATTTTTCCATGGAAATACTTAAATGCAGTCTTCTTTCCGTGGGCCTTCAGAATAATCAAGTAGCTATCCAGAAGGCAGTGCAAAAAAACATTAAAAATGGACTTGTTTAGACTAAGATGTTACGGAATCTTAGGAAAAAAACAAGACCTTTTCGCCTTCTGAGTTGCTTTCAAAAATGTATGTGCTTAAAGACTCCTCTCCTGTGGACTCGGGAACACGAATGACAAAGCCAACCAGCCTCTTGTTTTCCTGATGAGCAGCGAACTGTGTGACACTGTTAAGTTCAAACTTGGGGAGGGGGGAGAAGAAATAGATTGAATGATCACAAAATAACTGGAATTAAAACACAGACAAGGTTATTCTCTATGGAAAAGTGGAGAAAAAGAATGTATTAGTGATAGTAATACGCAGATTATTAAATGCTTAGGTTGTGTTTACAGTGCATACAAAAGTGATCTAAGAAGTCACCACAAACATTAAGAAGTAGGAGATACTTACACTGGCTCTGGACACTTGAGTCTGTGGATCTATCAACCTGAAATTTTAAGAGATGGGTTATGTTACAAATGTTGGGTAAACTTCTAGTCTTACAAGAGCTTGGAGAAGCTCATTATGAAATCATGCAAGTACCTCACAAATGAAAAGGCCGGGGAGAGGTGAGGCAGTTCTAGGTGACTGTGTACCATGGTTCCCACCTTTGTTGAACCTGTGCAGTTAAAGCTCACATTATATAGTAAATAGAATTCATTTCATAGTATTTGGCATTTATCCAAAAAGTTCTTATGTGTAGTATGGACGGCTCATATTCTGTACAGCTTTCTTTCCAACAAACATTCATTGGCTACTTTAATTCCCCTGAAGTATCTGATTGACTTACTCTAAATTTAACTTTTTAAAAAAGAAAAGGGTGCAGTAGGATAAGAAAAGCGAAGGGGTTTTCACAAAACTATCAGTGTGGATGTGAGAGGAGTAACGTTTAAGAAGCCTTTCTACATTGTATTTAAACATTTTAAGCAACTAATAAGGTTGATGTATCTTAGAAACTGCACTAGAGAATTTATTGCTATCTTAAATGTGTAAGTTCCCACTATATACTGCCATTTGTGTTAAAGTAATTAACTTACAGTATCATGTATTTAAATTATGGAATTACTATAAATTTTATAGGTGAAAGCAAAAATCTATTGCTTAAAAATGGTTATAATTACATTTATATGAGATGTCTAAAATAAGCAACGTACAGAGACTATTTGGATTGTAAGAACAAGAGCCAATTTCTATAAAAGACACAGTTGGAAAAAATGTTCTTTAAAAAATAAGGTTTTATTCATAAATAGCCCAAGTCTCAGGAATAAGGTTCATAACAAAAAAGGGCAGATTTAGAGAATGAAAGAAACTAAATGAGAATTTTTGCTAATAATCTGAGTTAACTTTTTTGAAGCTCATATTTGTTTTGCACTTTCCATGTGCGGTACTAAGTATTTGAAGTGCATTACATTCCTCATGGCAACACTATGAGGATGGCTACAGTTACTTTAAAATAGCTAAAGTTGAGCCATTATGCAGAGCTAAAATCACTTGTCCAAGGTGGCACAACTAAGAAGTGCCAGGAATAAATTGAGCCATTCTGGCCTTATAGCATAGAAATACAATGTGAGTCTTCCACATAAGTGTTTCCAGCATTCTTCTAAAATATTACCAGTTGTATATGTAATTAATGTAAAAAATCATTAGCTGTTTCACATTTGGGATATCAATGCCAACTAGTTTTGCTGCCTGTGGCTCACACAGATCTTACTACCTGAAACCCCAAACCATGGCTCACATTACCTAGCATCTTAGGCAGGTGATCTTTTTTTTTTTTTTTTTTTTTTTTTTT